GGATCTGCTATATACCATGCGCTGAAATAAGTGTTACCCTCCCCCTATTACTTAATGTTCTTTTTAATCAAATGTATTTAAACACTAATTATTTACACAGTAAAAAATATGTAGGTCGCTGACGACAGTTTTCTCGTCGATGATTTGCAGTATAAATTGTTGTAAGAAAATGAAATCAATAAACATATCAGCGGTTTTTGTGTAAATGAAAACCTCAACTATTCAAATGTCCATCACAAAATGAAATGCTATTATTTGATATATCCGTTACTGCCCACTTGGAACGATGTACGAGACAGTTTTTGTCTTTTCTGGATTGTATTGTACCTGAAAAAATGTATGAAGTTGAATTCTATTTATTGCTATACAGGGTTGTCGTGAAAATGTTTAAAATTTGAGATTATACAGGACCATTTAAGGTATTGGCTTCGATTAGAAAAAAAATGCGTTATATGGCTACAATAGAGCTTATTTAACATCAGAAGAATCTCACTGATTAAAACGAAGTAGTTACAAATCAGCATTGATTGCTGAAAGTGTTTGTTCCTCATTTTTGTGTACCATTGTTCATTTCTAATTTATTTTATACGAACTTTATCCTTTATTCACCAATCTATGTCTTCTTTCAGACCGTATATATTTTCTAAACAGTTCTTTAATTTATTTAATAGTTAGAATCTAAATCTTCTAAAAACATATTGTTTTAAACCCTTTTCTTAATTACATCTCATTTTTTCCAAATATATTTTAGGAATAAAACAGAAATTATAAAATAAACTCATTTTATTTTCTTTTCGACACCCAGCTCGGAAGCTTTTGTTAAAATATACATTTTATTTACATACCTATTTTGACAACAGTTTCCGATATGATACGAAAACGTTAATAATGAAACACTGCATGGTTTATTCCCAAGAAATATTTGACGAAACCTTGAAAAATAAGGTGAAATGAGTATTTTCAGTCTGTATAACAGTCTTAACAATTTAGTCTGTATAACAAATGTTTCTGTATAATTTTTCTAGTCAGCTTGAAACAGGAATGCCATTGGTCCTATAATGATAGTGTGTCGGCTCATGTTTGTATTGATTTGTTTAAGATGTGAATCGTATGTCCCCTTGTCATTGTTTGTGATATTTTTATGAACGCCCTGTATATTTATACACATAACTAGTATAATAACCGAATCTCACAATTACTAATAATTAATAATAAATATAATAATGATGCAGTCAACTAATTAGTATTTAAGTTTGTTTTTGATTGAAAAGAAATAAGAGTTGATCAGGAATACAATTTTTTGGCAGCAAAAACCCAGACTCATTTAGTTATATATAACGTTTAGCTAACTTTTAGCACTTACTTTATTGTATTTATTTCTTTTTTTAATGTCTAATAAAAAGAGAAAATGTTACCTATGTGTTTGCTTTATTTCCCTTTCCTGCATGTCATCTACGACAGTTGTCTTTTTAGTTTTGCATATAGCCGCTTAGAGGGCGCCACCAATAAAACCTTCTGTCACAAATGTAACCTCAATCCTTTGTTGACATAAATCAAGAGACTTTACTCTTGTAGACTCGTGTAGATACAGTGAATTTTTTAAATTAGCAATTCGGTTGAAAAATGAGTCTAAGCTGAGGACAGTCCAAGCTGATGCGACCTATTTTGTGCTACGCATGCGCGAACACGACCTATTTTGTGCTACGTCAAGATCCTATCTTGTTAGTCATAGTATCATCATTAGGAAGACCGCCGTGTAACATACCGTGAGATAGAGGCTCTTTTTTTGAGCATTTCAAAGACCTCGATCCAAAAGATCGTACATGCAGAACTGGGTGTTACGAAGTTGGTTTCCCGTTGGATCCCTCATTTGCCCACAAAAGTACAAAAAGCGGTTCGCGTCAATTGATATCGAAAAACATTAGAACGGTTTAACAAGGAAGTTCAAAAAACGTTTATAGTATTGTTAGTGGCTTGTTAGTATCTTGGATTTACTCCTATGAACCATAAATTACACGTCAATCCGCTGTATGAGTGTCTTACGATGAATCATCCGGCATCAGAAAAATGCAAGTGCTTACACTACCCAAAAGACAATAGAGTTTTTGAAGCTTCAAAACATATAATTATTAAACCATCTACCGTATAGCCCCGACATAAGTCCCAACGACTTCTTCACGTTCTCAACGATCAAGAATTCAATGCGTTAGCAGCGATTCCAGTCGCCAGAAGAAGAAGAAGCCATCGATGCCTTTAAAATAGCGATTTTGCAAATGTCAACTGAAGACTGGAAGAACTGTTTACCAATTGGTTTGAACGTACGCAAAAGTGTATCAATCTTGATAAAACATCTTTTATGGCTACATGCAAAACTAAAAAAATAACCTTCGTATTCCCGTCCTAGAGTTACGTCATCATCATCTTTGGCTCTACAATCCTGGGTGGGTCTTGGCCTGTTCAAGAACTAGTCTCCATTCCACCCTATCATTCGCCCTGGTTTTCCAATTTCTGACCCCTAAATTCCTTCAGTCATCATTTAGCAAAAAAACTGTTTGTACATCCCTCTTTACAAGGACGAAATGTCGTTTATCCTAGTTTTTTATCATCTCGAAAATTGTTGATTTTAGGGGAAAATAATTTTGTGTAGAAAACATGAAATTCAATTTAAATCTCAAACGAAGTGGGATGCAAAAAATCTTACGATAAACAGTAAATAATGGTATAATAATGTATAAAACATAAATGTAGTTTGTAAATTGTAAAATTCAGTAATATTTCACAGATCGTTGTGATATATGAAATATTTAATATTAATTAATTTTGGATCATGTTTTTGCAATTTACTTTTGCCACATAAAATTTCTGTGTTTCACACTTTGCAAACACATTTTTTATTATTGTTTAGAAGAGCTTTAAGCCACATTTAAGTGGATCAAGATCTGAAAACACTTAAGATTACCAACTGGAAAAAGGCAAGGAACAGAACAAAATGACGGAAAATCCTAGAACAAGCCAGGACCCAGAAAGGATTTTCGGATGATGATGAGACCTAGCATTCCACAAATTTGAGGTTAAAAGATACGGAATTTACAAAATAGGCATATACATGTAAATTGATGCGAATTCTACAGTCAAAAAAGTTGGTTCGCTTTTAATTCGTTGTCGAATACCTTGATGTTCCATTGTGAAGTGTTATTGGCTAATAGTCAATAATACTAATGCAGAACTGGGTGTTATGCTAATAGTCAATAATAAACTATACGAACTCTAACAACTAAATGTTGGAACAAGCAGTTATTTTGCAAATATAATGCCAATTTACCGAAATTCTTTTATTTAATTTTTTGTTAATGGTAAATATAAAATTAACATTTTTTATGATGTACGGAATTATTTTTGCGGCTTATTATATATTTTATATTGATTACTATTCAATTGTTTGATAATCGAAAACTGCTGACAACTAAATATTGAAACATTTTTCGCTTTTCATCACGTTTCTTAAATTTTATTAGCCTAACGCAAAGAAGGATTTGAAATCAAACATACGAGTAGGTAAGGGCGTTGTTAACAATAATTGTCACGTGTTATTGGAGTATAAATAAAGTCAACCGTCAGTTTTATTACGAGTAAAATATAATATTAGAACGTGAAAACCCTACGGATCCAAAAATTCGAGAAAATATTCATCAGACCCATGAAGGGAAAACATTGCGTGAAATTTCCAATAAATTGACTGTAGCAACAACGACTGTGTTTAATATAATTAAGAAATATGGTGAAACTGTCAATATTGATGCTTGTGGCAAAAGCTCAGGCCTTCCAAAAGCTATTTCTCAAAGGAGTGTAAAGCATTTAATTAGAATACGTGAGTCAGGAAGAAGAAATATACTACGAGAAGTAACTGCTAGAAGGAATAGAAAAACTGGAATGAATGTTTCCAGAGAATCCTGTCGCAAATATATCCACAAAGTTTTTATAAAATATGTATGATAGGTTCTTCTTTGCGATCTAAATTTCCTATTTTTTTATTTATTTGAGTAAACCAAAGAAAAAGAGGTTGCTCACGGAAACTCAAAAAAGGAATCGTTACATTTGGGCTAAATCAAAACTTTCGTGGACCAAACATAACTGGGACAAAGTTATCTATAGCGACGAAACAAATTTTATGTCTGTGTGGGAGATTACCGAAAGCGTGCGATTCGAGAAGCATTCCATCAGGATTTTCTCAAAAGAACTGTAAAGTTTTTACAAGGCATCATGGTGTGGGGTTGTATGTCGGCCAAAGGGTTGGGAACTTTACATTATTGAGGCCATAGTAAACGCAGCCAAATCAAGATATTCTTGAACATTCGTTTCTACCGAGTGCGGCAAAATTATATCCATCTGAAGATTTTATGTGTCAGCAGGACGGAGCCTCATGCCATACGGCTAAATCTACCAAAAAATAGATGGGATAACATGACATTAAAGTGTTGTCACATCCGCCTAGCAGCCCGGATCTCAATCCAATAGAGACATTTTGGGGCAAAATTAAACAACGCCTAAGAAATAACCCTCAGCGTACCTTGCCACAACTACGTACTAAATTACAAGCAATATGGGATAGTTTCACCCCTGAACTCTGTAAAGACCTAGTTGATACAATCCCTAATACAGTTCAGGTTGTTATTCAAGCTAAGGGCGACTTACGCCTTATTAATTTTTATTTTAATTTGATAAAATCCTATTGTTCCAATATTTAGTTGTCAGCATTTTTTGGCTATCAATTAATTAATTAAATAGTAATCAACATAAAATATATAATTAGACTGTAAAAATAATTACATACATCATAAAAATGTTGTTAATTTCATATTTACAATTAAAAAAAAAAATAATAAAATAAAAGAATTTCGGTAAATTGGTATTTTATTAGCAAAATAACTGCTCGTTCCAACATATAATTGTTAGGGTTCATATAAAGGTTATTAAGGTTACTAAATAAAATAACATTATTTAAAAAATTACTTTATAGTACCAAAAGATAACAATAATCAAAAGAAAATAATTTAATGTACAAAATTTCATTACTTTTAACATCACATTTCATTATCTTCGCCCTTAAAAATTCTATTAGACAATATAAACATAAATGATGCTTAACCATACTTTGGTTAAAACACTTCTATCTAAAGTTAGGAAATCGTCTTCATTATCCTCAAAACAGCCTCTATTTTTAAACCACCTTTCATCAAATTCTGTAACATTTCTAAATATTGTTGGTTCTCTACGTTATAGTTCCATGGAAAATCGAAGAAAACCACATAAGAACACAACTTTTTCATTAGTACACTATCTAGATCATCTTCGAATTTATCCCCCCTTATAAACCTTTGTAATAAAGGTTTCAAATCGGATTCCCATTTGTCGAATACTTCAAGAAATTCTTGACGAAACGAGAGAATTATTTCTTTAGATAGTAAATGATTACATCTGCTTTTCATAATATGACTTTGGATGATTTTGAACTGCCAAATGTTCATAGGGAATGGATTCTGTTCAAGATCTGAAATTATCTAAAACAAAAAGATTGGTTTATAGAAAACTAGAAATTTGAACTGTCAACAAATCTATTTGTAATACATAAATACTACGATAACGTTATTTATATATAAATAGTTAATATATAGACAATATGTATGAGTATTTACAAATGTTGATTTTATTACTGCAGATTTATAGATGTTTTCAATAGTGTAAACCTTATGGTGCTCATATAATAACCAATAGAGTTGATAATTAAAACTCTGTAGAATGACTGAAATTAATCATACTATGAAAAACAAATCGGAGTGGTATAAAAAATGACGATTTTAGTGTTCCACTTAGGTTGTTTTCCACCGAAAACAACCGTCCCAACGGTTGTCGGTGGAACTAATCATTCCAATGTTTTTTTTTCAGCATAAAGCGACGTCAAACGCTGACGCAAGCAGATATAAAAAAGTTCGCCAACATTTTTTGTCATTTCCAATTGTCAATGGACAAATCCATTTGTCAATAGTAATACTTCCGAAGATCCAAACTATACAGACAGTGAAGTTTCTATTGATCGATATCCTGCAGCGATTGTGAAGAATCAAATTTCGGTATCATTGAATCTACTTCGATAGCGTTATTTATATATAAATAATTAATGTACAGGCAATATTTACAATTAATTACAAATTTTTTATTTTATTACTGCAGATTTATAAATGTTTTCAATGGTGTAAACCTTATAGTCATGATATAATAACCAATAGAGGGCGATACTTGTTCAGCTACAAGCTCCACGGAGCGAATACAATGACAATTTACCTGTCTAGCGACAATCAGATCTATTCTGTAACTTTTGACAAATCGAATAGAAATCACCGAGTCGAATCGTAATTACTCGAAATCGGAATGTTGGATATCTATCGCGTCGTTTTTGTGTTTGGATTGGCATTCTGTAACTCACATCGTAATCGGTGTAAATCGAAAACGTCAACTTCTACTTGACGCGCTCAGAAGTTGGTGGCAACCCCGCATTGAAACGCGAAAGACGTGTTCTGTAACGTTAAGTTACTGGAAAGGCTAGTGCTCGCGAAAAATTCATCAAAAAAGAAGATTATATTTCACGTCAAGTAGTTTTGACATGTTTTGGTTAAGTTTGAAAAGTTCGTTACAAGAATACAAAATGGCAAGCGGGAAAGCAAAGAAAAAGACATTTGCTGAGCAGTTAAATTATTTAGTAAACTTTATCTAAATAAATAACACCACAGACTAAAAAATGAAGTAGCTACAAAAATTAATCAACCGCTAATTTAGATCAAAAAGTCAACAAATAAATGTCAAAACAACCAATGCGCAAGCGTCAAGACCAATTTCGATGTCGAAATTTGATCTCGACAGAGCTTGTCTAGTCGAAATCAATTTCTACACAACATTCCGATAGTAGAGGTCGAGATGAGTTACAGAATACCGATTCCTACAAATTCCGATCCGACTTGGTGACCTCTACTCGCTTTGACTCATTTCTATTCGATTTGTAGTTACAGAATAGGGCTGAATATTATTACAGCGATGTTGTTAAAAAATAAGGCCTAATAATCAGAATTACTTACCTTAACTAAGGCAATAAATATTACTATCACAATTAGCTTATCCTTCACTACAGCATCGTACGTTATCTTCGAGAGAGCTTGTCTTAGTCTAGCTTCTACTGCACTCGATTCTGTAGATTTGTCAGTCGTTAGAAAATGTTTACAAAACAATTTGATCGATTTATCTGACGTAAACCAAGTAATGGTAGAAGTAGGCGACGGGTCCCACGGGGTAACCATAGAATGTGTAAGTGTTCGCGCCAATTGACTGCGATATCCAAATTTGTCCAGAATATAGCTTAGACAACCAGCACGTTGTTTAACTTCTATGCAGCCTGTGGTAGAAACAATTTTTCTGAAATTAGAAGAAATATGTATGAGTAAATTCGTATATCGAAATCCCGATTCACTATAAAATTCAAAGTGAAAACCTCTGGAACAACTGTTTTTAAGTTATACTTTAAAGGTAAGAGATTCGTCAATGCGAATGATTTCAATGAAAGAAAATATTAAAGGAAAAAAAGGAGATCCGATTAGCTCAAATGGTTATCTATCATACCAGCTTATTTCTCTTTCGATTCCTATCACCAAAGAAAGCAGTGAAATATTGTTAAAATGTCGAAAGGTCTACTAACACTATTATCTTCTTTCTCTGTCATAGGCTCAATGAATATATATATATATATATATATATATATATATATATATATATATATATATATATATATATATTCTTAGAAAGGGCTTTAGTGACTATGTGAGTAATATATACGGATATATTGGGTTTAGTAGTCAATATATTGGCCTTTAAGTAAAACTCTTTTAGGTTTGCTAAGCTTTCGAGTTTATTTTACTCTTTTTCAAAACATACTAAAAATTAACATAAAAAATTTACATTAGAAAAATGAAGTTCTTATGTCTTCAATAGGCTTACCCTTGTGAGAATTGTCTTTTAAAATTAGCAAAATTTTAGATTTTGTCATTATGTCATTAACATAATGACATTAAATTTGATTTACTTTTTATTTCTGTCAAAACTTATTACTAAGGTTTCCATGTCTCTTCTATTTTGTATATTTATTTTAGGTGAGTTTGACAGAGGAAGTGTCTATGTTTATGCAAACCTTCATTGCAAATTTTGATATAATATTACAGTTATTAAACAAGCAACAGAGTTTATGTTACTAAGTATTTAAGAAAGAAAAAATACAAATAAAAATAAATTTTATCTCATTTGAACTTGGAATAATCCCTTTCATATGCGTAACTTTTAAGAACTTTTATATTGTTATTCTTTTATTTAAAAGAAGATTACTGTATATAGCACTAAGATTTTCAATGTCTTCTCTTTTGTTTAAGGTGTTTTGTGTAGTTTCTAGAAATGTGTTTAATTAAAACTAAAAGTATTTAATGTGATATTTTTCTAGATGATATTTACACTAAATATAGTTTAAAAAGTGTTTATAAATTTATAAATATATGTTATTTATATCTTATCATCTATTCATCAATAAAAGAACATTAGTAAAGTAATGTGTCTTAGTTTGATTGTATTGATACAGTTGGTTTTGTTCTTCCTGGTTGTAGATCATCACAAGAAAACTGCAAAATTATGCTGGAATGTAATATAATAGATTGAATTTGTTGATTGTCTCACAGAAATCCAGTATTTTTTAGTAAATTTTATTTATTGATAACAAATGGGATAAACTTACTGTCAAAATTAAACAAGAATCCCGCATTAAAGAAATTGCAAGTACACACTTATTTATACAAAGTATCTTTTTGCATTTTAGTGCTTCAAATAGAACCTTAAGATATTGATACATAAGTTAAACAAATCTATCTAATGAGATAACTGATTATCATGCATGAAAAGTAGGACCACACCTATATTTGAAACATAATTTATTCTGTGATGGGAAACACGAAAAAGTGAATTCTAAAGCAGTGAACGGGAAGTAATATGTAAAACAAATTGGCTGAAGTAATTCAGGAGATTATATTATTAAGCTTAAAAATAATTATTAAAGTCAAAGTTAACTCTTCTGCCTAGATTCATTAAATTGATCACACCAGTATAAGACTATGGTCTAGGCAGTTTAAAAGAACAGTATTTCAGAAATCTTTGAACTCTCTCTAACTTTTTGATACATGCATTTGCATAGCTTTTTTGCATAAAAATTTAATTTTTGCAAATTAAAAGACAAATTTCTGTGAAAAAACATACTTAGATCTGTAACAATATTGACTTTCCCGATCAAAATAGTCTCTAAATTATAATTAAATATCATAGACTCAAGAGATCTATAAAACTGGATAAGCCGATATTTAAATATTTATACATGGGACCAAATCGATACATTTTTGGCAAAGTAACGTAAGTCACCAAAAACGATTTGTAGAAAAAACAATTTTTTAATTCGACCTGGTTAAACTTATTTAAATTATGACTGAAAAAAACTTGCTCTAATTGTCCTAAAAAAGGTTTAAAGTAATTCTAGGCTTACTACACTCTTTCAGTACCTTTTTAACAGTAATAGCATTAGTTTATTTGAAAAACATTATTTTCGCCAAAAATGTTACTTACGTTACTTTGCCAAAAATGTATCGAAATGTGAAAAAAGTCTTTTTTATTGTAATATTTGTAATATATATTGGAAGTGAATTAAAAAAAATATTATTCAAACGTAAATAAACAAAGTTAGGTTAGAATTGACGTGTAAGGTTGTCCGATATTGATTACTCGATTACCGCAAGGCCGAGATAATCAACAAAAAAAGAAGATGTATTTGGTGACTTTTCTAGTAACTTTCTTGGGTGTGAATCTGTCTTTTTGGTTTACTCCTCCTGGTTAAAAAAACAGAGTATAAGAGATTATTTTTATTATTGTAAAAGATGCAAACGTTCTTTAATAAATGATATATGTAATATAGGAGAAACATATCAGTACTTACTCTAGTAAAGTCCAGTTTTTGCCCCTCTCGAACACCACTGGCCAATATCTTTCGTCGTGAACTTCAACTTTTGTTAATGTGTTTAAATCAGGTATAATTCCAGGTCCCTATAATACAATTACTATTAACGTTCTATATCTTCAAACAAAATAATTCCTATATCAACTTAAACCCGAGAATTTTTCATTTTGTAAATTATTTTTATCCCAATAGGTATTTAACCCTTTCGACCTCCTTGGGACAATACGTCCCATCTGAAATTCAAGAAACTTTCATCGCCTATTCATGTGCCTAATTCATAGGTAATCAACCATTTGTTTAACCTATATTTCTCATTGATAAAACGAAGGCCTGTCTTAAGTATTTGTGTGATTTCAAACAAAATTACGGAAAAGGTGACTTGATAAGTAAAACACTGTAGAATGAGTGAAATTAATCATACTAAGAAAAACAAATCGGAGTGGTACAAAAAAATGACAATTTTAGTGTTCGGGATATATAATCCCAATGGTTGTTTTCGGTGAGACTAATCATTTTTTAAATGGTTTTTTTTCAGCATGAAGCGACGTCAACCGCTGACGCAAGCAGATATAGAAAAGTTTGCCAACAATTTTTATCTGATTCAGAATTAGATGATGATGAAGATCCATTTGCCAATAGTGATAATTCCTTAGATCCAAACTATACATATAGTGAAGTTTCTATTGATCGATATCCTGCAGAGATTCTGAAGAATCAAATTTCGAAATCATCGAGTCTGAAGATGAGATAAATAATCAAAAAACTTTAGAACGTGAAAAAAACCATTTAGACAATATATCCCAGAATAAAAAGACTCAAAACTTACTTAAAAAATATATTAATATCATCAAACACATCTGTAGAACAGCATTATATTAAGACCAAATGATAAATATTAGTGTTTGGTGAGAAAAAAAGTGGGATCAAAAGTGTTCTTGTTCTTATAATAATATATACGTGCGATTAATTTTATATAAATATGTGTAGGCTTTCACGCCCGGTAAATGGTAGAGATTTATTGGTTTTCGAGCTTGGGGACAGTGCGAATTTAATATTCATGGCGATTTGTTACTGCCACAGCCTATAAGCTAATAAAACCACAGCCTATAAGCCCTAAAACCAATCTATTATTAGAAATTATTTTCTATAATATTCTAAAGAAACACATCAACATATCTAATCGTATCTAAGATATTAGTAATTTTAGTTAAGTACACTAATTACCTTAATATTAATAGTATAACCGTTGAGTTTCACCACTCTTAAATTTGCATAGCAAATTTCTCCCAACTGAACTTCCTTGGGTATTATTAACCGAGGTTCCACAGCTAACACATACAAGTGGCGAAAAGCTTGTAAGTGATATCTATAATAAAAATTTAACTATTTAATACTTCGATAAAAAAGATATATAAAATACTAAATAATAATAGAGATGTTTTGTACTCTACACATTATATAATGCAATATATCTGGTGGAAAGACTGGAGCAGCATGGGAGAAAAATTTGGTATTGAGACAAGGTGTGAATGGGAATAGAGAGACAGCTGGCCTAGTATGATTGGGAATATAATAGAAAAAAAGAAGGAGATACAGCGTCAGACTGAGAATAGGGCGCTCGAATCAATTTTTTGTGGACATTACAAGGAACTGCGGGAAGGAGTAAACATGCATTATCTACTGGAAATGAAAAATTTTTGGGACATTCGATGGCTGTTCAAATTAAGATGTGGAGTTCTGTATTTGAATGATCGACCTGGCAGAAATTATGAAAGAAGGTTTTGCTCAATGTGTAACACAAAGGAAAGGGAAGATGTGATACATTTTTTGGGAAAATGTTCGGTGTTGACAGATTAGGTTAAAGTGATTGGGTAGAAATGAACTTAGTAGAGTGAAAGTAGTTACTATGATGAGACAGGGACAGGCTGAGTTAGCAGGTTATTGTAAGGAGGCATGGCTGTATAGGTATGAGTTAATGAGCATATTTAATTACTAAATTTATTAGCATGTTGTTAGTTCAATAGGATGAAAATATTAAAATTAGCATTAATAATTTGTTTGCGTATAGCCATTATATTTTTATCTGTCTTATCTATCTTGACTATCTTGTTATTATTATTATATAAACAGCTTTCACTCCCTCTAAGGGACAAATTCAATCATATCAAATGCAAGCTATTTCTTACTGTTATATACAGTGCGTTAAGTTTTGGATTAGGTATACACTCTATAAATGGCAACACTGCGCGTCGTCGACTTGCCACTACATATCTGCTTCGTTGACTCGTCGTTGCTCGTCACCCGTCGGCAAATTTGTCATATTGTCATTATACCGTGGTTATTTAAAGGTATAACAGCGTAGAGTTTTAATTTATTTTTGTAAACATGTCTGTTTATATGGCCGCGGAAAAAGCTCAAATAATAAAATGGTTTTATAGTGGCAATTCTGCGCAACAGTGTGTAGATTTATTTTCTGCGTTTTTTGAGGGAAGACCAATTCCTTATGTACAGTCAATTTATAATATTATTAAAAATTTTGAGAGTTGTTATTGCCTCAAAAATTTCAGAAAATGTCACGCTCAAGAAGTGTTACCAGAAAAAGTTGAGGAAAGAGAATACCGGGATACACAAATTTGTGCAACAATCGAGGTAGATTCAACACGTTCAAGTAGAAGCGTTGCTAGAGAGTTATATGTTAGCAATGTTACTGTAACGAAAGTATGGAAAAAGCACGGTTACAAGAATTTTAAATATTCGAAAACGCAGCAGTTTTATCCAGACGATTACTTTCGAAGAACGGAGTTTTGTGAAACTCTAATAACGAAGGCTAATAGTGAACCAAATTTTATTAAAAACATTTTATTCACTGATGAATCTTCTGATTCGTTAGTAGGGAGACACAATCCTTCCATTACGAGGTATTGGGCGCGGGAAAACCAGCACAGAAGTGTTGTTTACCGAACTCAACGTCCTCAAAAAGTTAACATCTGGACTGGCATTTTAGGAGACCACATAATAGGTTCATTTTTTATTGAGGGCAACTTGAATAGTAGAGTATACCTCGATTTGTTACAGAATCATGTTCTTCCCGCTATTCTCAATCTTCCTAATGTAAATCTGGAGAATGTTTGGTTTCATCAAGACGGCTGTTCAGTTCACAACGCTCGAATTATTAGGGAGTATTTAAACAATACTTTCCCGAATCGAGTTATCAATGGAACAGGCGATATTAAGTGGCCTGCGCGATCTCCAGATCTTACACCCATGGACTTCTTTTTTGGGGACATTTAAAAAGCATTATCTACGATCATCCTGAGGCTAGAGCCCAAAATTTGGATGAATTAAAAAATCGAATAAGAGAAGTCTCCAATTCTCTTACAGCAGAAACTCTTTCATCTGTTCGCAGAAGTTTTTATGACAGATTGGGCTACTGTTCAGCCGTAGAAGGTCAACTATTTGAACCATTTCTTTAGGTCATAAAGAATTATTTTTTATTTTATTAGGAATAATATTTTAATTTTCAATAAGAGTATATTTTTTATTTTATCTTTTTAAAGAAATATGCTTTTATTTTTAATTCAACCACAAAAAAAATTTCACATTAATAAAAATCGATAACAATGCACCGATTAGGTCAGTGTTAAACGCCATTTTATGATATTTTATAACTGCATATAAAATATCATAAAATGACGTTTAACAGACGTTACTTTATGTTTTTATAACTTTTTTTAATAAATCGAGAAGACTGAACCGATTTGGCATGTTTTGGTTTTGAAATAATTATTAGAAGTCCTAGGAAGATGAAATAGGTGAGAAAATATGATGAAATTATAATGAGAATAGTAGAAACAACATTTTTATTTTCCCATAACGGTTACATTAGACCCTTATACAAAATGTTTTATAAGACTCTACCTCTACTACAGTGGTAGTTCATTTAAACATAAAGTGACGTTTAACAAACTAACTTTACGTGTATTTACTTTTTTCGTTTCGCATAAACTCGAGAAAATATGATGAAATTGTAAGGAAAATGGTAAAAGCAGTTTTATTTTCCCATACAAACAGTTATAATATACTGATCTATAACATATACTATCAACTTTTATTAATTGTATATAAAGTGTTTTAGAAGAATGTGATTTTTACTCGAGAGTAAAATATTTTTATATTTTTCAGAATGATGTATGATTAGAATTAAAAATAATTTTAAAATGTTCAATAAATAACTTGTTTATTTACAATAAAAAGGATTTTTCAGCATTTTCTCCGCAATACAGTTAAACATACAGTGTAGGTAAAAGTTTAAGGTCAGTATGGTACAATTTAACAGGATATCTAACGCAGATATAAAATCATATTTTCAGCGAATAGACAAAGATAACAATCAAATTTCCCCTTGGTCTCCCCTCCATAAATATTTTTAACACCCATTGGCCATTAGTGAGACGAATAGTTTCGATCAGAGATATTTTACATATTCTCTGGTTCCGATCCTAATATACCTAAAAAATTAGAGGTGGGTCCTCCCGTTTTTTAAATTTTTATCGGAACCGTTTTTCGTAAACTGTAACTAGTTGATTGTTTACCAGTATTCAAATTAGTGAGTACACAAATATATTGGCTATTATCGTTTATGTGTATAAGTATTGAAGTGAAAGAACCTAACGAAGCATATATTTATTATAACTTGAAAAATAAATTAAACAATACAAATAGTACTTACATTTACATTACACATTATTAAATCGCGAATCATCTAAATTGACATTTAAAACATAAGTTTTTCCACTTTTCTTGTTAACCGTGTTCTTCTTTTATTTAAAATTAAACCAGATTTTAAACATGTGTTCACAAGGAAAATATTTTGTTACAATAATACAATATTTTATGAATATAGTGGTTAAGTTAGGTTATACATGGCGATGGTTTTTCTACCACGGTAATGGACAGTTCCAATCTCAGTTCGAAATTTTTTGTGGGTAATATGTCATCAGACAAATACATGTCGACTTCTTTTATATCTCTCCATACAGGTGTATGTTTAGATGAGTCATGTCCAATTAATTCATCAAAAATACATCATGGACTTAAGTTATCTTTATCAGTTTCTTTTTCTTGTACTGGTTGATTTTCAAGATTTACTAAACTTATGCAAAGACTCGTTTCATCCGTTTTCCATCGTTGAAGAACCAGCTTTTAAAAAGTTTGCAGGGTGGACTCCTGGATATAAACCGCCAACAAGAAAAACTGTCAGGTTCATTACTTCAGGAAGGTTATGTCAAAACTGAGCAAATTATTAGATCACAAGTTGTTAAAGAAGTAGAAAATATCTGTATTACTACTGACCTCTGGACATCTGGAGTAACTGAGAGTTACTTTCCATTAACAGGAAAATATTTAACCGAAAATTTAGTATTTAAAACTGTTTTATTAGGCTGCTGCCATTTTTCTGGAAACCATAATTCAGAAAACTGTAGCACATAATAGACCAGATCTCGTGCTAGTAAATAAACAAACAAGACAAACAACTCTAATCGATGTGGCGATACCTAACAACAATAATCTGCGTGTTAAGTACAACGAAAAGATCGCCATGTACAGAGATCTGGAAATACAAATAAGAAGACAACGGAGAATGGAAAGTACCCAGACGATACCTATTATTCTTTCTACCACTGGAGTAATTCCGAAGAACCTCCAAAAAACATAAAAAAGCTGGGTCTAAACGAACATCTATATAAGGTCATGCAGACAGCTGTGCTACTTTCGACGTCCAGATGCGTGCGAAAATTCTTAGGAGATACACCGACGTACCAAGTCACCTAGGACTCGATAACATGGAAAGAGTCCCACCAGAGCTCAATCCTTTTGATACCGTAGGTATCTGGGATGAGTGAATTTTCCCCTTAGAGGGAGTGTGAGCCGTATGGCTAAATCTGGATAATAATAAATATGCACATAAACGATAATAGCCATTATGTTAGTTTATGTAGGTACTCTCTTACTTGAAACTACTTTTAAACAATCATAGTTACTTGTTTACGAAAATTTAAATTTTTAAATGCATTCATTTTTTTGGAATCCTGAGAAAACTAACAAATATTTTTGAAAAATTTAAAAGCAAAATGAAAGATTACATTATTACCGAGGGCCGAAAGTCCCTTAGAATAAACAAAAAGTTTTTTGAATGAGATATTTGAAATTAAAAATCACACTATTTTTTTTTTCACCCCTATAACTTCTTAAAATAAACATTATAGAAGTTTTCAGGGACTTTCGGCCCTCGGTAATAATGTATTGTTTCATTCTGCGTTCAAATTTTTCAAAAATATTAATTAGTTTTCTCAGAATTCGAAAAAAAAATGAATGCATTTAAAAAATATTGGCCCGAAATTTTGTGCCTACGTTCTTAACGATAAAACTACCACGACCCATCTCTACTACTCGTTACTCGTTGTTTTGACCAGACACGTTGCCAAATAATTATTGTGTATGAATATTTTTTTAATGTGGCGTTATTGTATGCAGTTTATTATTTCATATTGGGAATAAGGCACAATGTGACTTTAAAATAAGCTTATTTTGATGTTTAGATTTTTAATTCGGAAATCCTACTTAAAATAAATACGAAACATTAATAAATTTTATTTATATAAAACGATTACCGTGGAAATCAAAATGTTATATTACACTTATTGTAAAGTAAACTTGTGGGATATTCCCAATAAAAAAACAGTAAGCTGCCATTTAAATCAATTTCGCCCAAATTTGATTATCTTAGAACATTGTTCAAATGCAAAAAAGACAACAGGTCAAAGAAAACCAATAAGTTTGGCAACGTTGAACTTCCCCTTTTTTATTATTTTCACGCTTGCATGTTCGGCGATATAAAGGGCGGACCTAATATACCACTCTCTTTCTAAACAGCTGTTTCTCACTCCATCTCACGTAAGGTCCATACCGACCATAAACTTTTTCCTACACTGTATAAGTTTGTGCATTATTTCAATGCATTTTAACAATTATAAGAGCTAATTGGGTATACTAAATCCATAAAATTTCCATATATATTTTTATCGTAATTGTAATATATTTTAATCGTAATTTATGATAATTTACAGTCGTTGAGTTGCGCCCAATGTAGACAACTTACAGTTGTTAATTCAGAAACTTGTTAGATGGTGGGCGAACAGCACTTTAGTACTCAAGCTGCCATTAGGCGTTCATAGCAAACCAAATGCCATATGGTTCGAGTTCGGATATTATCTGGGATAAATATACTATGGCTCATAAAGATTCACTCGAAGCATTACATAGAAGAATGCATAACTTAAACGGTAACGACAAACTATTCAGTGATGCTGTATTACTACTGTCTGGTGACTTCTGACAGACATTAGCGACTATTCCTCTCTTTATATATGCGGGTGAGATTTATGCATGTATAACACAATCGTTTTTATGGCGAAATATCGAAATAGTTGGATTAACCATTAAGATAAGAGTACAAGTGCAAAATGATCTTCCCGCTCATACTGAATAATTACTTTAATCATAATTGGCTCATTGAGCGCAATTTTGGCGGCAAAAAATGTTGACTTTAACGAAATTAACTTCCAGATTCAACAGTTGTTACTGTTGCTCTGATAAAATGAAAGCCATACATTATGGCATTGGAGCATAAATTAGTCAACCATTTCATTAAATTGTTTAGTTCTTCGATATCAAAACACTTGGCACCCCTGTACCCGAACCACTGAAAGGGAGTAGATTTTAGAGACATTAGGTAGACTTTTTGGTCTGAATAGGAATCAGCTCGAATGGCTGACGAAGTAGAGATACTGAAATAACTGTTATATCGTTCTATTGATTACGATTAAGACTTGAAAAGTTATAATATATGGCTTTTATTTCATATATATTGTATACTAAACAAATAACTTACCTATTGTCATTACTGTGTGTAGGAAATTTTGGATAAAAGGCACAAATAAGCGCCGCAACACTAGCAGAAGAATTTGAGAGAGTGTAGCGACCGCCTCCTAAAAACAATAACCCTAAAGCCATATGTATGGCTAAATGAGAACCGTATGTAACTACAGGACTGCTTGAGACACCAACTCGTCTTCGCAGATGACGTACTAATCTCATAATTTCTAAACTTCCCGTACCAGCCATTACCTGTAAAAAAGTATTATTAAAACGTTTTCATAAAAAAGAAATACTAAAATGTTGTCGTTCTGCTTTTTATCCACATTCCCGTAAATCGGTATGTCATTGGCAAACGATAAACTTGTATAAGTGTCCATTCTACACAACATTTTAAAAAGCAAATGCTCCTTCCTGGTCTTTTTTTAAATAGCCGATTATGTAACGTTACTGTTGATATTTCCTGTTTCATTAAAATTAGAATAACAATTATTTATTTTCCAACACAATTTACAATAGAGTATACAAAGTAAGTAAGTAAGAACACAAATCTTGCTTTTTAATTGAAACTATAATAAAATAGCACTTTAATTTCGAGTAAGGTTTTTGAAGTTATACTTCTATACGCATGGTCGGCGTTGGAAATTTGCACGAGAGTGAATCTGTGAAACCATTACATATGTAAGATAATGAGTAAGAGAGAGCCAAAAGATATATTTTCTCTCTCTTCCTCTCTCGAGAATAAAAATGTTCCTTTTGTATATATAATTAATATTATATATATATATATATATATATATATATATATATATATATATATATATATACAAACAACAAAGTTTATTGGGGCTGCAGTCAGAAGTTTGGCCTGGATGTTACAGAAACACTCTTTTGACTTTTGGTCTAGCTTTCGGAATTGTTTAATTCCTTTATCAAGACACTGTAATTAGAAAAATGTGTAAATATTTACAATATATCACAGAATGTCAGTGTACTTACTAGTCGTTGAGATTATTTGTAAGAAGCTATGACACTCAACATTAATAACAAACATATAAACTATAACTTATACAATAATGGATACAATACATTTTAAGATTTAGTTAAAATTAATAAAAGTTCTATAAATTCGTTTTCTACATCTTCTTGGTATGTTTTAACTTACCCATAGAGAATAAAAAAAAAACAAAAATAAAAATAGTATGATTAAAAATTCATTAGGAGTTCTTCATATGTTATTAATAGAAGGTAATGTATTAAACCTGTGTTGATGGTATGCAACCTGTTTAGCATGCAGGTGTATTATGGTGTGTATATGTACAAGTAAGTCTTTGTGTCATTTTTGATGTTTAGTCAGTAAATAACAATAAATGTTACTCAATTTGTCTATATCGGACTTCTTATTTATACAAGACGCACTGGACTTTATTAAACACATTTCCAAGAAAACACGTTTAGAATGGTTATTTTCCCTTGCCAGAATACAGGAATCCTCGAAATTAAATTTATGTTTTAAACTTAATGCATGTTCTGTCAACGCGCATGCGTTAATTTTTTTGGTTTTTATGTCGCTGCGATGTGAGATCACCCTACTGTGAAAATTACGAGATGTTTCACCAATGTACACGTTTTTGAAATTAGCACACGGTATAGAATAAACAACATTCGATGATTCCTGTATTGTGAAAGGATCCTTTGTCTTTGTGTACAACTTGGATACCGTTTTCACAGTTTTAGTTGCAACTTTTAAGCCACTAACATTTTTGAAAATGTTCATTATCTTAGGGGTTAGGACTGGAATATAGGGTAGGCAACCATACGTTATTTTAGATTGTGGTAGCTCTGGTGTGTTGTGCGTCTTGTATAAATAAGAAGTCCGATATAGACAAATTGAGTAACATTTATTGTTATTTACTGACTAAATATCAAAAATGACAAAGACTTACTTGTACATATACACACCATAATACACCTGCATGCTAAACAGGTTGCATACCACCAACACAGGTTTAATACATTACCTTCTATTAATAACATATGAAGAACTCCTAATGAATTTTTAATCATACTATTTTTATTTTTGTTTTTTTTATTCTCTATGGGTAAGTTAAAACACACCAAGAAGATGTAGAAAACGAATTTATAGAACTTTTATTAATTTTAACTAAATCTTAAAATGTATTGTATCCATTATTGTATAAGTTATAGTTTATATGTTTGTTATTAATGTTGAGTGTCATAGCTTCTTACAAATAATCTCAACGACTAGTAAGTACACTGACATTTTGTGATATATTGTAAATATTTACACATTTTTCGTATTATAGTGTCTTGATAAAGGAATTAAACAATTCCGAAAGCTAGACCAAAAGTCAAAAGAGTGTTTCTGTAACATCCCGGCCAAACTTCTAACTACAGCCCCAATAAACTTTGTTGTTTGTTTAAATTGACAGTCACGAATATCCAGTATTCATTGTATATATATATATATATATATATATATATATATATATATATATATATATATATATGTTATATAATATATATTAATATTATTATTTATTAAATGTTCATAATTATTTTAGGCTTTTGTATTTCAAAATAATCACTGTATAACAGACAACTGTCAATTTTGAAAACCGTTAGGATCATGTCTAATTGGCAAATATTTTACGTGTTTGGTTCATACTGATTTTCATTTTGAAATATTTAAAAACCTCACGTTAACGTTATTAAATATATGTAATATACGCAAAAATGCTAAATTTTAAATAAAATGAAAATTTACAACATAATCCGAGTTGTTAGTTTTTTATTTTTATCTTCGTAAAGTAAGTTATGTATATTGGCAGTTTTAAATACTTATGAATATTGCATTTTAATTTGTATTTTATTATTATATTGAATTATTTTGCAGTATATTGTATTGTAATTTTTATATTAATAACAAAATAAACAATGAATTTTACTGCAGAGTAGGTGTAAAAAATTTTACTGCAGAGTATGTGTAAAAAAATTACTTATATACCTAATTATTTTTCTCTTTCTGCTCTCTTACCTATAGCATTAAATATGTAATTATTGTGCAGATTGACACCCATATAAATTTGTAACGGCGAACGCGTGTATAGAAGTATAACTTCTACCGGCAGTCCCACTGGACTGCCACACCCGTTTTTTTTTTAATTTTCTCTACAAAAAATTACAATTTTATCTTTCGGTTCCATAACGATTTTATCCAACAAAACCTTTGTTTTGTAGACTCTGTAATCAGTGTTTCTGTATCTAGAAGCTCTATCAACTAAATGTTCGGACAAACAAAAATTTATTGAAAACGTTCATCTTCGCAACTTCTCTGGAGATAGATCATTACAAAATTTCTGTTTCATCTTATGCCACAATTTCTCAATAAAATTAAGGTCTGGACTGTTCGAAGGCCATGAGAGCACATTAATGTTATTTTCTCCAAACCATTTTTTAGTTATTTTAGCTGTATGGCATGCAGCATTGTCCTGTTTAAATATAAAATTTAAGTCCTAGTAGAGTCGTGAGCACTTGGTACAAGACTATTTTTCAAAATTTCTTGGAACTTTACTGCGTTAATTGTGCCTTCCACCACCTCATATTTTTGTAGACCAGCTGATGACATGCACCTCCAAATCATAATTTCTTTGGGAGACTTCACAGCTCTTTTGAGGCAATCTTTATGGAATGCTTCATTTTGACTTCTGATAACCCATTTTCGAAAGTCTACCACGCAAACATCAAATTTCAATTCGTCACTGAATATGACTCTGAACCAGACATCAAAGGTCCATGAAATCTTCGATCTTGATCAATTGAAGCAGTTGCTTAAAGTTTTCATGGACCTTTAATGACTGGTTCAGGGTGATATTCAATGACAAATCGAAATTTGATGTTTGCGTGGGAGACTTTCGAAAACGGGTTATCAGAAATCAAAATAAAGCATTCCATAAGATTGCGTCAAAATAACTGTGAAGTTTCCCAAAAGAATTATGATTTGAGGCTGTATGTAATTAGTGAGTCTAGGAAGATACGAGGGGGTAAAAGGCCTAATTATCGCAGTAAAGTATCAAGAAATTTTGAAAAATAGTCTTGTACCAAGTGCTCACGACTCTACTAGGACATGGATTTCATATTCCAGCAGGACAGTGTTGCATATGCCATACAGCTAAAACAACCAAAAAATAGTTTAAAGACAATAACATTTAAGTCCTCTCATGGCTTTCGAACAATCCAGACCTTGATGTTATTGAGACATTGTGATATAAGATGAAACAGAAATTGCGTAATGATCGTCAGAGAACTGTCACCGATTTGAAGAGTACATTAGGTGAATTATGGGATACTTTTGACCCTGACTTGTGTTAATCCTTAGTACGAATAATGCCGCCGCGGTTGTAAAGGCGCGTGACGATGTAACCCCATATTGAAATAGTAATTTCTGGGATTACCCGAACATTTAGTTGTCACAATGTTATACAACATTTTCGTTTATTTTGCCGTCAACGCAGCAATGCAAAGTTTATAAAGACCCAGCCATTTCAATATTTTGTTATTAATGATAGAGTATAATGTATCATTGATCTCTTTCTTTGGTTCAATACAAAAGTTTGTGAAGATGAACGTTTGCAATAAATTTTCGTTTGTCCTAACATTTAGTTGTTAGGGCTCGTAATGCAGTTTTGCCTACATTAATTCGGGGACGAACACACTAACCACACAACAACAAAGATTGTAATAATTATTATTTGGATCTAAAGAAATTATTTAATTTAAACTACTTACCATTGATACTGACAGCAACAAAACGTTCAAGCAAGTTTCTATTGTAGATTTTCCGGCCAATTCTGCTATAGATTTCCCCGTAAGCGAAGTAAACATATGGCAAAAGTAAAATAGCGTTTCAAATGCTTCTTCATCGGCAGTACCCGCGAATTTAAGGCCTAGAGCGAAACATGCACCCGCTACTATGTTACAGTAGGCTTGGCTGAAAAAAATGTTTTAATATGTATTGTAAACTAACAGTAACTAAAATAAAATGATCGTTTCTTTAGAATTGATATGGAGACACTAAAGCTGAAAATAATAAATTGTAAGATTTGCTATCCATTCATCTCTCCTACGCGTGGTGTGCTCCTCATATGGAGAATACTGAGTTATTTGGTCTGAACATCGAAGTGATAAACGACGATATCAGTGATGACTGATAAACTTAGCAGCAGCACTAAATATGACAGTCGCTAGCACCAATTTTGAACACAAGAATATACAAGGTAACCTGGACCTCTCCTGATGGAAGAACAACGAGGCAGATCGATCACATCTTAACAGATTCAAGGCATGGAACAGACGTAACAAACTGCAGAAGTTATAGAAGCGCAAACATAGACTCATATCATTGCGCAGTGATCTTAACATTGAGGGCTAGACTTTCAAACACCAGTAAAGAAAATATAATAGATGAAAAAATCGAATGTGCAAAAGCTGTGGATGCGACAATTGTAGAACGGTACTAGGAAAACATCACCAACAGGCTAAGGAATCAAAATGTAAATGAAGAAAGCAAGACAAATATAGACTCCTACTGGACCACAATAAAGGAACACATTGAAGCAGCAGCGAAAGATGAAATAAGAACAGAGATTTGTGCCCGTAAAAATCATTGGTTTGACGATGAATGCAATAATGCAACAAAAGAAAAAAAACGAAGCTTACAGAATACTGTAGAGAATTACCAGACAAAGAGAAGAAAAGAAAACACACAAAAGAAAAAAATTAAACCACTTAAATAAGGAACTTAAAAATATAGAAAACCTCAACAGAAAGAATACGGAGCATTCTATAAGAAAGTTAACATCAACAGAAAATAATTCAAGGCACCCACAAGACAGTGCAGAAGTTTGAATGGCGACCTGTTAACAACAAGGAAAGATGTATTGAAATGATGGGTGGTATACTTTAACAAGGCACTTAATATAGAGGAGGAAGAAGAAAACCTGGAAGACGAAATAGATGAGGTAAGGAGAACAGACGAGAGGGAAGAGGAAACCCCAACGATTCTTGAAATTAAAGATGTAGTTAAAAAACTAACCAGAAACAAATCACCGGAATAGATAATCTCGCAGCTGAACTATATAAAGAAGGTGGCCATGATACCATAATGGCATTACAGCAGCTTATAAAAGAAAAATCAACACAGAAATCCCTTCCCAATTATTGGGATATTGGATTATTGAGCATAAATACTCACCATATATTTATAGACTACAAAGCAACCTACGACTCTGTGAATAGAAGGGAAATGTTCAAAGCAATGAAAGAGATAAGAATACCAAATCAGTTGGTAAATTTAACAAAACTAACTCTTGAAAAAGTTGAATGTAGTTGAACTAGGTCTAATACTGACCACATAAGTTTGCACTCACAACCGTAGTTATCAGCTGATGTTTAATACTTCAAATGTCATTCAAACGGTTTCTTTTTTTTTTATTTCGAATTAACGTGTCTCGACATCTTTGGTCATTGACACGGGAGCAAAGTTTTACAACTACACCTAAAAAGTTATGATACAGCGTTTACAATAGTGAAGAATACAAATATTAGGTAAATTATATTTGGTTAACAAATTGAGAAGTCTTTAAAAAGTCTTGAGACGGCTTGATCAGTTCAGAAGTTCTTTAGACTATGGGTTATATTGTTGGCATGCAGTTGGCCTGGTAGTGTTGACATTCCGTGAGGATCTGCTTGACGGTAATATGAATATCGTTGCAGTGAGAGCATAACTATTGGTTGTAGAGGACATAAGATGACCGCGTGTCAAACGTGTGTGTCCTATTCTCAATCTTCGTACTGTTATCTTTTCTTTTCTGTTCAGAGATGCTAGGGATAAATAGCTATAAACATTAGGTTGTATTTCTTTGAGCTTTGTGTTTTTGGTGATCCAAAGTTCCTGCCACTTGTTTTAGATATTCCTTTTGAATTTTGAGCTGTATATTGTAGACGGGTAAGTTGGGTGTAGCAGATGCTTCTTCTGCAGCGCTGTCAGCCATCTCAATTCCTTGGATGCCGATATGAGAAGGCACCCATATTATTGTTATTGAAGTACCTCGGGAAGTGTGGAGATGGATCGATTCTAATATTTTTTGCACTAAAGGATGTTGATAGTAAATATTTTTTAACGAATGACCAAACGTTCTCGTTTTCAATACAAAATAAGATTTGTAGGTATTCTAAAGGACCGTTGGAAAGAAACATCGCTTAAACAGACTTAAAAGTACCGTTGGTAAGTAACTGTCCAAAATAAAACTATACGTGGTGGGAGACTAAGGGAGAGACAAAAATATTTGTTGTTGCGCGACTGTCTCAAAACTAAAGTTGCATTCCTTTAACTTTAACCAAAGAGTATAAAATCGCTGTAAATATTAAAACATTGTAAAATCTAAATAAATAAAATAATTTTTAGACAAATAAACGTTGATAGCAATGATTAGTATCTAGATATGTGGTTGAAAAATTTCAGCGGGTAAGTTACTGAGTATAATGTATACTTACTTCATTGCTTCATAGTCTACGTTTAAATTATGCAATGGTTGAACCATACAATGCGGTCTTATAGTGGATGGTACTTGAGATTCAACCCAGTCTTTGGTTGGTTCGATATCGTTCCATAAAATAAGAGCTACAACAATTATTTATTAGGTTATATACTCGTACTACATATATGTACACAAACATCAATAAAATGAAATTTTTGGTCTAGCATAAACGTTAGATGGGTATTTTTGATAAAATCTTGTGAGTTACTCGACTTGAAATAACTTTATTATATATACATTTAATTTACTCACATCTGGATAAAATCCTTAACAATAAGAAGTCGGGTCTTACAAAATCTAGTAAATACTGCGTTTGAGGAGGGGCCATCCAATCGGCGACGGCTTTATTCCCAGTACCCAAATACATCAATCCTAAGGCGAGAGTAGAACCTGGAGCTGTGACGTCTAGATTTACTGACGTTCCTTCGCGAATTTGGAAAGACGGTGTTTTATATTTGTCTTTTTGCGAGCCTAAAATAAAAAAATTAATTGGTGGTCACAAATTGATCATATTGTTGTAAATCAAACACTATAATTTTATTGAATGAAATAATATTCGAGACCATTACTATGTAGAAAACTTTTAAAACATTTTTAATACATACCTATAAGCGGCCGTTTGTTTCCTCCGACCATGTAGTAATGTAAAGTATCAGGTACGTTCAAGTCTGATAATCCAGAGGGAGTCTCACCATGTTTTAACGTAACTAACCTGCAATGCAAAGATGATATTGAAATGTGGACGTCAAGGAAATTGAATGTGTTATGAAGAGATGGTTAATTTGAATTTTCGCGAGTTCAAATTCAAACTGTTGATAATTGTTGCACTGATGACCGTTAGTAACACATAACATCTTGATAATAATACTATTGTCTCCTCTTCATCTTCTTTTTATGTAGATATGACTGTGTCTGTTTTTCAAAGTGTCTTCAGTAAGTTTTTTTTCGTGTTCTTCCTATTGGGGAACCGTCTCTTGTCATCTTTACTACTCTATTTGTTGTCATTCGGCTTATATGATCATTTCATTCTACTCTTCTATTTCTTACCCAGTCCTTGATGTTCTCCACTTTGCATCTACGTTGCCATCGTATATCTCTGTCCCATAGTATTTTACCATCAATTTTTTCATCTCTGCTGTTTCTAACATCTTTTTTGTCCTCCTTGTACTAGGTCGTGTTTCGGCCGCATATGTCATTATTGGTCTGATGACTGTTTTGTAAATTCTGCTTTTCATTTCTTTCCCGATATTTTTATTTCTCCATTGTTTCATTCACGCAACCTGCGGTTCTGTTTTCTCTATTCAGTTGATCTTCCACTTAGGTCAATCCATGCCAAGTGGACCAAAGGTGGATGCTTGACTATTTTTAATATTTTTTATTTTTCCATCTGTTATACTTCAGTCTATAGACAGTACAAAATTGCATTCATTTTATTTAAAAAAATTTAATTTGCCGATGGCGGCCATTTTTGTTTCATCGTGTCGGTCATTTTTACGGAAAACATGGCTTCACTCTTTAGCTAATAGGTTCACTTAGGTTTGTCCTAAAACAATAAATCAAAAACCAAACTGTTTGGAAACGTATGCTCTAAAAAAATGGTCCATAGCATTATTTAATTACAAACTATCCTTAATGCCTTAAATTAACCTCAAAGTTTGAAAAGGTAAACTGATAAAATTCCGTTTTCAGCATTTTTTTAACAACATAAGGCAAGCTGATAGGGGTTTGTAATTTTTTTCTGGAAAAGACATACACACACACTTTAAATGAAGAAAGTTTGAGCTTTGAGACTTACGTCAATTTTTTCAAAAAAAATCTCAAAAATGTATTTTTTTGAAAAATTTTAAAGTTTGTGCCCTTATATCTCTGATGGGCAAGCAAGTAAAAATTTGAAATTTGGCTAAATGTTAGTTCCTAATGAGTATTTTGACAATTAACCAGCCAAGAAGAATATCTTGGCTCCAGAACTTACGAAAATGGTTTTCCTTGACCACTTCAGGACGCTATTTGAGGAAGCTTCTTCGGAAGTTTAAACAAACCGGTAGTGTTCAAGATGTTAAACTATCTGTTCGACCAACAATTGATGATGACAAAAAAATTGACATAATTTCTTCTACAGCCCAAGTTGCATCTATCTAGAGAATCAGTCAAAAGACAGTACAGAGAGTACTGACTGAAAACAAATTTCATCAATACAAATTAAAAATTGTGCACCAACTTTCAGATGATGACCCCGAACGAAGACTAGAATTCTGTGAAAATATTTCCAATAAACCAACAGCCCGATTACATAAAAAAAATTGTTTTAGTGGCGAAAGTACTTTTTCTCTCAATGGAAATGTTAACATACACAATGTGAGGTATTGGAGAGACACAAATCCTCAAGTCTTTCGTGAAACAATCCATAAATACTCAATTTCAAAAAAATACATATATTTGGGCAGGTATTTTAGGAAACCACATAGTTTCAAAAAGATGGTGCTCCTGCACACCATTATGGTGCACTATGGACGTTACCTAGATGAGGAATAGTAGATGGATTGGACGACGAGGTACGATAGAATAACCAGCTCAGTCACCGGACCTCACACCATTAGATTTATAAAATAAAGTTGTTTATTTTTTCGCAGATGATCAGATCAGTCGTAGCGAATGATGAGAATGACATGGACTACATGTTTAGAAAACTAAAGAAAGAATATGAAAAATGGGGTGTCAATATGAATATGTCAAAGACAGAGTATCTTAAAATAGGAGATGTTGAGATGAGGGCATTTACCACAGCCTATGTATATTCCCATTCCGGATACTTGATTCCTCCATTGCTGTAGCGATGATGGAAATAACACATTATGTAACAAAACAAAGCTTCTACGACCCATAGAAGCCAAGTTAGTAACTGTTCTTTAAATCACATATCTTTTCTTTATATTAATGAAGATTTGAAATATTTTCAGATTATCAATGAATATCTACATTTTATAATGCAACTGATAAGTAATTTATGTAATTTGAAATAAGTAGTAGAACTTTAAGTAAAGTTTTCGAGCGGATTTGACCAGGGTTGAGATGAAGCTTGGACCCGTCAGGTTTTGAGATTAGAAATTGGATCGCGCTGAAAAATTTGCAATATCTCCGGATCTAAAAAATATAACCGGGATAACACGAATTAATATTAATAACTGTATAATTTTCATTACCCGAAAAAGTCGGAAAATTAACAATCTCTAGTTTTTATGTGAAGAAAGCATTCAAATCAAATAAAATGAAGTAAATGTACTTACCCTAAAGCTAAACCTGCTGCCAAAGAATACGACTCTCTATCGACGCTATTCTCCATTTCTGGTCCTGGAGGTCTGCCAATTTCAGTCAGCAAGACTTCGGTCATATGCCTGTGAGCGGTTCCTTGATATACCAAACCTATACCTAACAGGCCAGCCACCTGTAAAGTTTGGGGAATGTCAAGCTCCATAGACGTCGGAGGAAGCAAGGCTTCGACGTGAATTGCTAAGGTTTTAGTAAGGCAAGGATGGGCAGTACCTCTAAATGCGGCAGAGAGACCTGAAAAATTAGTCAATATTATTTATTGATAACCGTCGCCTGATATTTCCCCGTATTTCGTCATCATTAAATATTATGATTCCTCATATACCACACGACGATAGTAGTATAACCAGTACATAAAATAATGTAAAAAAAATATTGAGTCTTACCTAAAAGTATACCAACACTAGTCATCTCATGTAGTTTTTCTAAATAGTTGAAAGTGCTATTAAAGGCTAAGTTCTTTAAATGTCCATTTAATCCCAAAGCCAGCAAAAATCCTGCGTGCTCCATTTGTCCATCGTTACCTCCTAAAAATAACCAATATAGAATTTTGTGATTAATTCTAAATTCAAGATTTTTATAAGACTTCTCTAGAAACAAAGACAGTTAAGATTTGGTTTCACATATAGTGCCTCTGTATATTCGCTGATACGTATTTCATCCTCTCAGGATTCATCAGAGCGTCTAGTACAGAAGACACGATACTTTCCGTTTTTTTCAGGGAAACATGTTACTTTGCAAATTATAAGGAATGAATTAAGGGATAAAGAAGTTGTATTTTGGAATTTGGGAAAGGAATTGGGATTTAAATATGAAAAAGACAATAATCGAAGAATATTAATTGAGCGCACTAGTTTTGGTGCTTTAAGATCCAAGTTCCTTCGAAAATATATGGAAATTTTAATGAGGTGCAGCCGAAAGACCTCGTTTTTTTGAACGAAGCGTGGATTTATTCAAAGAGTAAAAAAAACAATTTCCTGGCAAGACAACAGTGTTAAAAGTATAGGTAAACCAGAAGAGTATGATGGTAAAAGTTTTATAATCGTTCACGTTGGTTCTTCGAACGGATTTGTTACTGAAACAAGTTTATTACTTTGCTAAAAATCTAAAGTAGCTGATCATGAGCAAATGAACAATAAAATTTTCACTAATTGGATAAGTAAACAACTAATGTTGTTATGTGTTGTTAACAGTGATGTATAATACTCCATATCAGTGTGTTCTTTTAGAAAAGCAGCTTTTCACTGTTTCAACTAGAATGGAAATTGTAACCTGGTCGACAACCAATCAGATCAAGTATGACGTAAAACTCACAAAACCTAAATTATTACAAATTGCAAAAATGAACAGAAAAGAGGATGTGCATATAATTAATTAGCTACTAAGAAAACACGGCCATGAATGTTGAGACTACCTTCCTATCAATGCAAATTCAAATTTTTTTTTCAATTTAGTTTGACAACATGTGTAATCTGTATCTAGTCTTATTAAGTTTATTACAGTTTTAGTCATTTTATATAAATAATACCCGTTACGAGGTTCAAAGCTCTTCGATGTTGAATACACAAATCTCCTCAAAGCGAAGTAAAAACAAAGTCATTAATTAATTCTGAAGACCATATTTTAACATTGAATAAACAAAAGGATCAAGATGATGAAGCCCTGAGGTAGATTTCTAAAATTTATTGAAGATCAAAAGGCTTATATATTCTTCAAATTTGATGACCACTATTCACTATAAAACTACTTGGATATAGATCACATTGAAACATTTTTCCAGTAAAGTGTTTGAGGATTAGTCGCCAAATTTTTTAGGCAGAAAAAAAGGTTTCAACATTTTTTAAATGCTCTCTTCACATGTGATTATCCGCTTGCCTCACGAATTATTTTGAAAAATCGGTGAAAAATTTGACAATTTTTGTACTGACATATTTTAATATATAAAAGTAATGCAAAGTATAAATTAACAAAAAAAAATAAAAAATAAGACATTAAGACATAAGACAAAAAATAAAAATCTAAAAACGTTGTCTGCCAATAAAAGCATATGTATATTTTATATATTTGATTTAGTGTGATAGTCTTTGAAGCATGGCACAGCACATAATGACACTTGACAGTTAGGACACATATATCTCGTTTCTTTTCGAACTGTTTTTCCGGTGTTATTCCTTTTTCTGCTACACATTGCACATTGACGTGTCGAATTATTTTTCTTCTGTGTTGAAGGAACATATTCTGGAAATATCTAATTAGATAAATGAAGAGGCGCTAGAGACGATTATACTGGAGTGATAGGTTTCAAATATCATTTCAATCACATTCATGCGAAATTGTAATGGTGTGTATTGTCCTCCATTTTTCTTGTATAACAAATAAGATTTCCAAAGATATAACTCTATCAGATGGTAGAATATTTTCTTGTAGTATACCTTTCCAGGTTTTCTGGTTATAGGGTACTCGTTGATATGCTGGTCAACTCTATGAATTGTAGTCAATTACTACTACTGATTTTACCCTTTCTTCATTTCGTTTTTTTTTAAACTATAGTATCTGTGTTATTAACAGTGAAAAGCATAATTATATCTCTTTTATCTCGCCATCGTAATGCTGATAATGTTCCACGTTGATATCCAATGATATTTTCTTTTGGGACTTTTTTTGTGTGCATGAGTGGTGGCATTTCTTTTCTATTAGTTTTTGCGGTTCCACGAGTGTCGGTTTTTTGTAATCATAAAATCAGACAGTTGAGGAGTAGAATAAAAGTTGTCAGTTATGAGGCAATGGCCTAAGTCGAATAGCGGCTCCATAAGAGATAGTACAATTTGCGATATAAATCCGTACGTTGCATAATTTTGGTTGATAACAGTTTCTTTGTCGGTATATATTATAAATGACCAAACTTAGACTCACACAACATATAACTGTTTATGCCAAATCGAGCTCTCTTGAGTGGAATGTATTGTTTCCACCAAGACATCCTTTGTATAATATCAAACTTTCGTCTATTGTAACTTTAAATTCGGGAGAATAGCACTTCCTAATTTTTTTTGAAAAGTGTTCATAAATAGGTCAAAATTCTCTGAAAAATGGAGTTGATATTGTGGATCGTTTTAACCAATACAGTTGTTGGTCCAGCTTTTTTTATGATGCTCCGTAGAATAACTAAACCAAGCACAAAAACACGTATTTCAGCATCTGTAATTTCCCTCCAATCTAATCCTATGGACGTAGCTGGAGCATTTCTAGTTATTTGTTCCGCGTACCAATTGGTTTCGGTGGTAATGTGAGCAAAAATACTATCGTCAAAGGAATTTCAGTTTGGCTCAGGAATTTCAAAATTTATATAAAATTTCCCATAAAACGGAAATCTAGGTGGTGGCGATAAAATATTTATTTCACACATTTTACGTGCTGCTGTTATATCAGTATCACTATCATCTAAATCATTAAATTCATCAAAAACACTTTTGGTATCACATTCAGAACCAGAATGGCTTATATTATGTTCTGATCCACTACTTTCGTACTGATAATGTTCGTCTTCACTATCACTCTCCATGAATGCCGCACAGTATTCGTAAATAAAATAAACAAACTGCGATAAACTGCGATACACCTTTTTCAATGATCAGACATATACTAAATCGTTACTAGCTATCCGTACCACTACGCTTACCGTGTAAGGTGGTGGCTTGACACAGCAAGTTTCCCCACCATCGTGTATAATACAGCGACAACAAAATCTGCGGCAACAAAATAGACGAGTTAACACGTTTTTAATATGTTTTATGCCACTAATTAAGTTGATTTTAAACGGTTTGCTACTGTTCAGGTGTTCAGTCAACATTCAGCACGAGATATCTCGGGTTAATGATTTTTGTTAAAAATTGTTTGGCCGTGCATACTCGGAATATAGTGTTAAGCGGTTAAAAGAAGGATGATCTTTTATGGAGCTTTTGCGGATAGAGCGCTGTGAATCGATAGAGCTTAGTCTAAATAAAGTTGACGATTATGTTACGCAAGTTATTAAACAAATAAAATTTGGGAATACGCTTTTAGTTTACCTCCTTTGCCTTTATTAAAAATAATCCAAGTATTGTCGATATTGTGCGCATCTGGAGTTATCCTCAATCCATTTGCTACTCCGTTGTGGAAGAGCGGCCACAAATTCATATTTGCAGGTATATCGATATGATTTAAGTCTACAGTGGTACCTCTTGGAGGAGCCTTTCCTATCAAGCATAAAGCTGGAGCCGGAAGAGGCTCTGTAATAACTGGACTTATTGTACGAAGAGTTATCATACCCCTGGAATTAAACAGAATATTAATCATATATTATCTTACCAAAAACTTAGATAAGATCGATTTCAAACCGTAAAAACTTATATAAAAACGGAAAAATCTTCGGTTGAAATCGAAACATCAAATATAACGTATTGTTAGAGACAGTAAAAGTTTATATTTACCTTCCAACCGGTAAAGCCATAGTCCTTATACAAATCCCGTACAGATGTTTTTCTTGTTCTTCGATAAAATCGTGATCAGACACATCAGGTCTTTGGGTTAGAACGATAGGTACAGGTCTCGAACTCTGAAGCATTTTTCTAGCTTCATTTACTCTGACGTCATCATTAAAGCGTAGCTTCATAAGGGAATTTACTAGGTCTTCCATTCCATCCACTGGCTCTGCGTCTGTCTTAAAACCTGTCAAAAGATAACCAATTATTTAAAATGTTAAAATGTAAAATAAAAAAAAAAAGAAAAAAATTCATTGCCAAATTGTACCAAAATAAATTGATTTTGCCACAATAACCATCATTTTATCGACAATTAAAAATTCTCTTTATATATCCAGATACAGCATGATAAAATAACAAACAAATAGCTAATTTCCGTTTCACTTACCATGCCTTTCCATTTGTATGTTCTTGCACATTTCAAGTAATTCCTCAGACGATTCGGTTTTTTCTTTTTCTATCTTCACAGCTTCAGCAGCCAAATCTTCCCTCCAAATTAGTAGGTAAGCTTCAGCAGGCCAACCAGGTGGAGGGTTTTCTCTGCATTTCCACAAAGCGTCGTAGAGAAGATAATAAATCGAATAAGGTAGAGTTTCGATATAGCTGAAAATATGATATTTATTAAATAACTTTACATAACTTAACTTTGAGGTCAGAAAACTGAAAACTGTTGAGTTCAGAAGTTAATAATAGATATATTTTTTTATTGAAGTAATGTATATTTATTATTTTTTGACACAAACAGCACTAACAAATTTTTAGTCCTCTATGCATCAAATTATAATTTCTCATAGTTAAAAGTCCCAAGTTATAAATTTTTATACATAATTGTTCATAAACATAAGAGTTATAGCAAAAAATACAATTTTAAATTTCAACTTGAACACCCTGTATCTTTCTTAACATCAATATTTTATTAAAGCAAATTAGCTGAAATGGTAATATTTTACAGTGTAAAATCTATTGTTTCTTGTTTTAGAATTACTTAGGGACCACCTTGTAGATAGAAAAACTGACAGAAATAGTAATCTGCATTTCTTTCTCACCTGGTGTTTATTTTCATGTCTACCATGAGCAATACCATTTTTTCCAAAGCAGTTGGTTCCTCCAAAGTTGTTTCCATTGACATTTCCTCAGATGCATATGTTTTCGAGTCTGCGAGCATATCGCACAACTGAAATATAAAATTCTAATAAAAATATAAATCCCTGTACAATTTTAAAGCAGCACTTTTTACACTAATTTTTTATTAAAAATTAAATATTTAAAACTTAAATACTTCAGTTTATACCTGCATTTCTAAAAGAAATCTTCACAATGCAACATTCAAATCATTAAATAAGTAAGGAGGCATGAAAGCAGGAATATTGTTAATACCTTAGCAAGTAACCTACCAAATTTTCAATACTATTCTGCGCAACATTCTCCTATTCTGGAGAATTATTCTGGCAACAACCTGAAGGAATCTGAAATGTAGGTGATAAAAGGAGTGCGAAAATCTTCTGAAAGATTATATCAATTATAATTATCCATGAAATATTCCACAGAGTGAACATTTTATTGATTCATTATCTTAAAAAAATATATTTTTCTCTATCGATCTGTATTAGTATTCACTATACCTATCTCTTGCAGTTTTCAAATAAATTAATTTACTGTGCATTTTTTTAATGTAAATCATGTGTTAGACCAATCACGTAATAGAAATAAGAGCAGATACAGCAGAAACAAAAAAAACTTAAAACAAGAAACGTGAAATCAATGACACAATACCAAATAAGAGATCTCTGTAAAATATAAGATATTCTAAGATAGAGGAGATATATGAGGAGAGAATGAAATCAGTATTTTACACAAATAGATAGTGAGGGACTAGCGCGAATATAGAATTTTTCATATAAAACTGATTGCACGTCATTCAAGATTTACGACGCCAGACACAGCGTTGCCAAAATATCAGAATAGTTAGTAAGTGAGGAATTTTTAAAATGTCAACTATTTGTCAAACTGTTATATTAACAGTAAATACACTTAGTTTTAAGACTACTGCAACACACTAAAATATATAAGAAATCATTTTAATACAAAATTATATATTCTAAATTTTCAACCTACCTCTTTTAGAGCATTAATAGTAAAAACGTCCGCCATTATTTCTTGTCCAAAATAATCTATCTTATATGAAAACTTATCAGCTTTCTACATACTATTTACTTATTTTAAAGCAATTAATCTAAATTTAATATGTATTTATAAATTCAATTTATTAATATATAATATATTATAATCAAATTGTGTAGGAAATCAAAACATAAACAAAATTCTTACTCTAAAAAAGCGGCAACACATTAAACAATTTTGCCACACGCTGAACTGTCATTAAAAATTGAAGTATTCCTGTATCAGTTGCGTACAATTGTCCAATCTATTTAATTAAAATTATTATTTTGTGGAATATTAGACTTAAAGAGTTATTCCATAAAATTTATATTATTAATAATAACAAATGTTTTTGGTTATTTAATCAATATAATTCTAAAATTCCCAATATAATTATGGTTACATTTTTCTGATTATTATACCATGTTGACGCCTATGAAAGATCAAGCAGTTCGGTATGGGTTTCGGATTATTAGCTGTGTTAGAAAAATTTGAACTCTAAAGTTGACGTTCTGGAAATTTTAAATATAAGTGACGTCACTTTATATAAATTGTGACGTGCAAAGTTTTTACTTTGGAAAATGGTATAGCAATGTACCTAAGACAAATATCACACCATATAGCAAGAGGCAGAGAAGAAAACACAGAGAAAGAAACAATAGACCAGCTATTTAAATTTTCGTACTAATTTGATATTATATATTATGTAAATAAAACACAAAACTACTTAAACCAAAAGTTGATAACTCTCGGAGAAATTTAAAAATAAAGATGGGAACGAGTTCTTTGATCAGTTCCCACTTCCAACAATTGAAGTATGGCAGACTACCTCAACGTTAATAAGAACAGAGAGCAAAATACCATAATACGTAACTAGTAATAAGATGTATCTTATGCTAGTACTTACCTGAATTATATCTGCTGATCTAGAATTGATCGTGTTTAAATATGGACACGGTTCTACAGTTTTCCCTTCAATCTTTTCATAAATGTATTTAAAAATACTGAAAGGTGACTCTTTCGATGCAGAGTGGATGTTTTTCATCTTATCTGGTGGTATTACAGATCTTTCTGTCAGAATTGCGCGATCCGGAAAGTCCATCCAATAATGTAAATTATAATCAGATAGATTCAAGTCCACAGACAATTTGTTGAGAAAAGTCATTAAAGGTAATAATTCCTCCGTCCTTAGAGTATTCAGCTTGAGATCTTCATACACCAAGTGCAAGATCTCCAAGATAATCTTCATATACGGAAATAACAGTCCTTTTGAGTTAATACTCTCTCGACTTTTGGTTTCTTCTTTTACTTTAGATATAGGAATTTCGAGTTTAAGTGTGGTATTGAGGTTTCCAAAAATTTGTTTGTAGTCGGAATTGCAGAGATAGGTCCAGTCATCATCGGTTCCTTCTGAATATTTTTGTTTTTTCCTCATGCTGGCTGGAGTTGTTGGGAGTTCTAGGGAGCTTTCACTGTACTGTTCGTCCTCGTAACCCAAAAGCTCTAAAACCAGGATATACTATGTAATGCACTTAAAATATTAAACAAAGAATGTGGAAACAATTTTTACATCATTATTAAAATCATAAAATCATAAATCATAAAATACTTGCGATATAAACCGAAGTTTGTGAAGAGTTACAGTGTTTTAGGTGACCACAGCACGTGCAGTTTCAGTGCTATATACTATGTACGAGTGAATAATAAAGCTAAAATGTAATGGCATGTCTCGCAAACAGAAAAACAAAATGGGTATATTGATGGAAAGCAAAAAACCTTATTTATCTCTAGAATATTTTCAGCCTCCCTCAAAATACTGTTTTTAAATAAAATGATTGACAAATACTTCGTACTTTCAGTATTGTCACTTCTATACAAAAATTATGTTATGAAAGATAAATCGATAAAATAGAGCAAATTTTGTGTTTCACTTACCAAAAAGCAACGAACTAAACATCTTCCATTCCTGTTCAAACGTAATATTCTTAGATCCTATGACATTTTTCGTGGAGTACCATCGACACAACAATACCGTTGCTGGATCCTTTTCCAAGGTGTGCCGTAAAGCACCTAAGCAACTTTCGATCAAAGAACTTGAAGCCATACTTGGTAGAGTAATTCTATAAAAAGTACCATCCGAGTATTTTAACGTTACTCTGTTTTCTATGGCATCTATAAGACCGGTTAAAAAGACTTTTTGGTTATTTCCTACAAAAAAAACATAAATAAAGACTTTATTTTTTGGGAAAACTATGGGAATAATCGAAAATAAAATTCAAAGTAGTGTTAGACAGGGTGGCACACTATGGCCAAAGCTTTTTATAACTGCCCTAGAACCTGATTTTAAAAATTAAGACCATAAAGTGTCGACGGGAAAAGACTACACCACCTGAGTTATGCTGATGACATAGTTTTGATAGGAGATGACTTCGGCGAACTGTTAGAAGAACTGGAAAGAGTCTGCATAGAAATTTGTTTAAAAATAAACAAAATACATGAAGAACTTAGTGCCTAGTAACAACTTAAAAAATCAGAAAGACGAACTAAATGCTATTGATAAATGCAAATACCTTGGACACGAATCAGAATACAACCAAATAGATAATGTATCGAAAAGAATAACGCATGGATGAGCAGCAAGCTGTTCTTATAAATAACAATGCCTTAAAACTAAGAATAGCGCAAAGAAGCATGGCCCCCAGTACCATATGTGCCAAATATGCAATGCACACGGGCGCCATCCTTTAGGAGCGCCATCAAATACGTCTCATGCATCACAAATTATAAAAGCTGCGAGAAGCATTTGTGGCCTCTCATATCAATGTATCCTTAATGCAGTTTAAAAGTAGACGACTGTAAGCAACAGAAACTATATTTGGTCTCTGAAATGTGTAAACCAATTTTTGATTCTCACACCCTAAAAAATGGGTTACTGATAAAAACTGTACACTCAAGTGAACTATTATTTATTTATTTTTGAACGAAAACTATCATTTCCATATATTGTTTGTTATTTTAATAAGAAATTAACAAAAACATTTTGTATTAAAAAAAAACCAACTCAAACAATAATGCCTATTACATTGCGCACAAAGATATCTTGAATCAGGAGTTTTCAATTGAGCGTTTTTTCGTCCAAGTAGTTTCATAACAAACAACAGACCGACGATTACTGAAACCTACGTGTTCCAACAAATAACTGTCGTTACGATAAGTTTTATTGAATGTAATTTACTAGGCAATCCACCAGAGATGCAAAAGAAGTTTTCACCCTATTCGAAAACGGAGCCAAGTAAGTTTGTCTGAAGGTCAACGAGGACAAGACCAAGTACATGGTGGATACCAAGAACCCAAGGACAAGGGTTAAACAAAACGTAACAATCAATGAATACAATTTTAAAGTAGTCAAAGAATTCATGTACCTGGGAGCGATCATAACATCTGAAAATAAATATGAAAAGGACGTGGCAGCTAGGATCATTGCTGGAAACAGGGCATACTACTCATTAATAACCGTACTTAAATCAAAAATACTATCAATACCAACAAAAATAAGAGTGTATAAGACAATAATTCGTTCCATAATAACGTATGGAAGCGAGACATGGGCTCTGACCCAACGGGAAACAACAAAATTACTGCTACTGAAAAGAAAGATACTGCGGACTATGGGCCTTGCAGAGAAGAGACAACAGGAGAAGGGAGAAGAAGACACAGTGATGAACTCCAGACAGTATATGGAGATGAAAAAATAGTACGCTTCATTAAAGCAAACCGAATAAGATAGGGGGCCACGTACTAAGATCGAGTGACGAAAGTCTCCTGAACGCCACATTCTGGGAAAGGCCCGATGGCAGAATGTCCATTGCCCAAGAAAGAGATGGAAGGACGCAGTAGCCAGTGATCTACGCAAAATGGGAATACAGCAATTAGAAATAGCTGCTCAGGATAGGGATGGCATGATGGAACTGGAGCGGGTACCTTGGAATAGGTTTCAACCGTCTATTCCACGCACCAGTGACAAAATGTCGACGGCATCGGTTTCGATTCCATCGGCGCCGCATTAGTTGAGTACAGTTTGCGCATCGGCCGGTCAAGAAATTTACAATGAAACTTGAACTGGTTTCTCGGCTCGGAATAGGTTTTAGACATTAGTTAAGCGCAATGTAGAGATTAGAGAACGCATCGGCAGGGTTCGTTTAGATTCCAATATCGTCGCCTTAGTTACAAGAAATATTCTGTTAAACGTGATGGGTTTAAAAGAATTTCAGGTCGGTTTGGCTGCAAGAGATTTCTAATTCATGGCAAGAATACTTATCATGTAGAAAAGCGTTTTAAAGTGTTTTAAAGTGTTATAATTTTAACTTAACGCATTTTGTTTTTATTTGTATGCCTAAAATCTAATCTAATTGATCTTATCTTCTTAAATAACTTAGTGTCTTTATTTTCCATTTGCATAAATGAATTATGAATAAAACTCGATTACGAATTGTAGAAAAAAAATGTTAAGAAATATAAATATATATATATATATATATATATATATATATATATATATAAAAATAAAAAAACATCCTCTAAATTAAAAATATAAAATTATAGGTACACAGTAGTTATTCTTTATTATGAAATTTAAAAGAAAACTAATACATTATTTTATAAAAACAAATGTCTTATCTTTCAAAAATGTCTAAATAAAATATAATATTATTAAATAAATATATTGTAAGGAAAGGATACTCTAACTGTCAATACGTTTTACTTACAAAATTCATAGTCATAATTTAAGAACAACAGTCTTTGAACCTTTTTTGACCTAAGACGATTTCTTCTGTTGTTTAAAATCTAGCCTGTTTTAGAAAATAAACTTTTATATGGCACTGATGTTGCCACAGCACATAAATTTTTCCTAGCTAAATAACTAGGATTTGGGTACATATACTGACAACTTTTCCACCAATCTAAAGGATGTTTATTTCGGTCCAAAATATCATCTTCTAGATATCTATGAATCTCTATTGTAGACTTGGTAGCAGTGCTTTTATATGAACTTTTGTTACCTTTAGACGAAACAATTTTGTCCAATGTTGACCATATAGATAACTTATTTTCGTTGTGTTTTGTATATTTTCCTTTTCTTTGGATGCTTCTTCAAGTTCTCTTTCCTGTGATTCATAAAAAGTAGCTTCTTTATTAGAAATTATGTAACAAAGTTCTGCTTTAACATTCTTCTTTACCTTTTCCACAGCATCAAGGTTTTTAAATTCTAAAATCTTAAAACGTGGGTCCAGGAATGTTGCCATTGCTAGGGTATAATTATTTTCAATGTCATCCATCCTTTCTTTGAGGCCTCTTTGCAATTTATGAATGACCATATTGACTATCGGTGACATCTCCCTATTGAGAAGCTCCTGACAAACATTTTGTAACCCCATCGTGATTATTATCACCATCAAAGCTACTATTTTACAAATGTTACATTTTGCAATTTGTTTTGTTGCATCCGCAACGGAAAAAAAATCCATACAATACTGGTACGCCTATTCATATTATCGAAGTTTATAAAAATCATTACAAAACTTAACACTGACTTATACTGTGCCACAACAATTGTGAAAATAAATTATACCCAAATGCATTAAAAACCCCTACAGGGCGATAGGGTTCAAGAATCAATTCCTCGAAACACCCACAAATTAGCTCTCCTAGTTCGATCGTTTGGATTCGGTCGATGCAACGCAACACAACAGTTGTAGCACAACTAGGAACAAGCTAGCGGTGATCGGTAATCAATATGAAGTGTTTTCACGTCGGAATCAGAAACTCGCATTAGGTTTCTGGAATAGGTACGTGCTTGGAATAGGTTCAGTTCCAACCTATTACCGAAAAATACTATTCTGTACCATCCCTAGCTCAGGACCGACAACAATGGAGTAAAATAGTAAACGCGGCCAAGACTCACGTAGAGTTGTAGAGCCAAATGATAATGATGATGAATTTACTAGGCTACTACGAGGTTCTCTTTGAATTTTGTTATAGTCATTGTCTTATTTGACTTTTCATGGTGTAAAATATAGGAATTTACTAACGTAGTACCCACAAGCAGTTTAATTGCTAACTTTAAATACCACTTTACTCTCTTTTTCAATGAGGTGGCGTATGTTTTCATTGAGTAATACAGATCGATGTATGTTTTATGTTTATTGTAATCAGTTACGACTTTTGGTATTGGCTGTCTTCTGTGAGTTCGGCAGGGTGTTTTGTACTAAGAGTATAAACATCGCGTTTGACTTTCATTTTTGAATCACCACTCCTGTATTCACCACTCAGCTGCAACTGTTTGTCCTTTTTACAATTGAGTATCAATTATATGTTGAGGGATTTAATTTTCAGTTGGTTCTCAGACATCCAACTAAATGAGTGTTTCTGTTCTGTACTTTATGGGCCAAAGAAATACTGGTGTAATAATTATCCATATAAATTGTACGTCCCTTATCCACTAAGTTATTAGACAAAGTCACTATGGGAATGGGCAATAATTGTAATAAACGATATCACATAACAGGGCAGCATGAATCATATGAACTTGTTTTCGTGTGAATCGGCATATGATGCACACGACTGTAATAAACGATATCAGTCAACAAAGTCGCGTGAATCATATGGTGATTCTCATCTCTAACTAACGCAAATTACCGTTTTTTTGAAAAAAATCGTGTACCTATATGCTTAGTTTTTAATTTTGTGTTCATATAGAGCCGGAGTTCCCAACCAGGGGGGCATAGAGAGATGTCAAGGGGGGCGGAAGACGTTTGCGATTTTAGAAAGAAAAAAAAAATAATCAAACAACATTTACAAATAATATTACAATATAATGTTTAATTTACACGGATAAAATGAATGAAATTAAATATGTCAACAACCGTTTCAAAACCCGACACCAACGTCGTCAATCGCAGTTTATATAAGTTTCGACAAGCCACTACATAAAATCCGCGCGCAACCCCTCCGCACCAATTCCGCATAACGTTCATTAGGAATTAGATCATAGGAAGATAGAAAATAGTTGAGTACCTACCGGACGTGCATGAGCATCTGTGACATTCATTCACACAAATTTACGAAAAATTTGACGTTTCGGTATCAATTTGTTGCTGATAAATTAGTTTGAGTTTGAGTGTGTATAATTATTGTGTTTCACTGTTAAAAGGTAAGTTTGTGTATTTACAAACTACAGTTGTCATTTTTATTTAATTTACTAAATTATTGATTGAGCTAAGATGCGTTCGTAGATCGATCATTGGATCTTTTTTAACACATTACAATAAAACCTACGTGGCGAATTAATTTTGAAACGTTAAATACATTACGTTATTAAGATAAATGGGCATTTATAAATAGTAATTACATGTAGGTATTTTGCTTGTTTATTTATTACTGTTTTATTGTTATAGGTTGCAAAATGGCAGCGAAAAAAAGAAAGTTTTCCGAAGATTATATTAAGTTTGGATTTACCTTCATAGAAAAAGACGAGTTACGGTTACCTCAGTGTGTGATATGTATGAAAGTTTTAAGTAATGATAGCATGAGGCCCAATCGCCTTGAAAGACATTTGAAGGTACAACATCCTACTCTGGTTTTGAAGACGCAAGAGTTTTTTTCTTCTAAAGCAGAATCACTCAAGCGGATGAGATTGGATAAATCGGGAAGTTATCACAAAGGTGTATCGCAGCATCTCAAAGCTTCATTTGAAATAGCTTTTATGATAGCAAAGCAAAAGAAACCTCATACTATTGGTGAAGAATTAATAAAACCGTGTGTCCTAAAAGCCACGCAGATAATTTTAGGAGAAGATGCAGAGCAAAAAATGAAATCTATTTCTCTTTCGGATAATACAGTCAAGCGTAGAATCGATGACATTGCAGCAGACATAAAGTCACAAATAATCAACAAAGTAAAATTATCGCCATTTTTTGCAATTAGTTACGATGAATCCACCGACATCGTTAATTGTGCACAGTTAATAGTGTATGTTCGTTACATCGGCGGAGATATCATTGAAGAAGAGATTTTGTACTCCCAATCTTTGACAGCACGTACTACTTCTGAGAATATATTTAATTCAATATCAAATTTTGTTGAAAAACAGGACTTGGATTGGAATAAACTCATTGGACTTTGCACAGATGGCGCACCTGCAATGATAGGTGTACGATCGGGCTTAGCTAAAAAGCTCAAAGAAAAAAATCCCGCAATGGTTAGTACACATTGTGTTATTCATCGGCAAGCTTTGGCTTCCAAAACATTACCACAGAAATTACGCCAGACTTTGGACTCGGCTATAAGGATTGTAAACTACATTAAGAGCAGCGCTTTGAACAGTCGTTTATTTACTTTACTTTGCGAGGATCTCGATTCTGATCACAAAGTTCTTCTGTTCCATACAGAAGTACGCTGGCTACCCAAAGGCAACATGTTGGCTCGCCTTTATGAATTGAAAGAAGAAGTAATTCTTTTTCTCGAGTTCAAAGAAAAACACGATTTCTTCACAATGTTCAAAGATGACACATTTCAATGGAGGTTGGCTTATTTGGCTGACATATTCGATGCCTTGAATGAACTAAACTTAAAACTTCAGGGCAGTAACGGCACTATAATAAGCAATTATGATTATATTCAGGGGTTCATATCAAAGCTTCAACTTTCTAATCAAAAAATCTCTTCTGAAAATGTTATGTCTTTTTCTCTGCTGTTCGAAGCAATTAAAAATAAGATACTTGACGCAAATTTGAAAGCTGACATAAAAACTCATTTGCAAGCGCTGAAAGACGAATTTCGCCGATACTATCGAGACATCAATTCAGAGTCACCAATATGGCGTATGACAAGAAATCCATTTGTTGTTGATGTGTTCCAATTACCAGAAAAAATTCAGGAAGAATTTCTAGATACGATGGCTGACTCGTCCATGAAAGATGACTTCCATCTCTTGACATTGGAGAAATTTTGGATTAAAAGATTGCCTGTTAATTCGAAGTTGCCTCTCTTGCTTTACGAATACTACTTCCTTTTTCTTCAACTTACAACAATTTGTTTATTAGAATTAAAATAAAATTTTAAGTATATAATGTGCGTTTTTTGTTGTATTTATTAAAAAAGTAAAGGGTTGCATGAAAATTTAATTTATAGTCCGGGGAGCCCCAACAAAGAAAAGGTTGGGAAACCCTGATATAGAGGGGAAAATATTTACGGCTACAAGGACCCTCTTTTTTTTCACTACGGTGCTAAGTGTTAAAATAGGTGTGAACGAGAATTTATTTTCATTTATTTTATTACGATTTTATTCTGTTTGTTTGAATGTAATATTTTAGTCTACAAATAAATATGACTTCTACAGTTCAGTTTTTTACTTTATTTCAAGCACCTACCTTCAAAAAATAAATAAAAAATCCAGCAGCTCTTACCAGTAGCCCTTACGGTGATCATGCAAACACGTATGGAGTCTTCAATGATAGGAGTAACAAAAGAAGACAAGAACACAAACGGAGACCTACGAAAAGAACCAGAGTTACAGATGTTGTGGAGAGAGGCTCCAGATTGAAATGGGCGGGCTATGTGGCAAGTATTGAAGAGGGAAAGTGGACAAGCAATTTAACCGAATAGAGACCAAGAACAGATAAACTAAACAGATGAACATCACCTACACGATGGGAAGATGATCTGCGAAAAATAACGCGAAATTGGATCCATACTACACACGACCGTGGACTCTAGATACAACTTGAGAGGCCTATGTCCTGCAGTGGACTTAAAATGGGCTGATAATGAATAATGATAATATGATAATATAATGATGAATATGCCATATGTGTGGCAATGTCACATATTCGCTAATTGTATACATCTCGAATATTTTAGTCATTTTTACTTACGTTCCTTAACGTTCATCTGAATCACAGGTTTTTTTGGAACTGGCACTGCAGCTAATACCGGAGATAATAGATGTTCTTCAAATTTAGCATCCGGCGATTTCACATGAGGCAGCAAACTACTGCGTCTAAAATATAATTTTATAAATTATTTTTAAATATAATCACTAAATGCAATGAAAGTAGTTTTAAAAAGTTTTAAAAAAATTAAAAATGTGTCTTTTATAAAATCTAGTAATTGTTTTATACACAATCGATTTGTCTTTCAAGAAAAAAAAGTTGTTTTATTGTCATTTTACTTTGTAAATAATACAGTACGTTAAGTTTTGGATTAGATACTGTAAACTACATAAATCGCTAAAATCGGCAACATTGTCTCGTACGAGTTAAATTCTTCGATCCCCTCCGACACCTAGAAGAAAACGAGAAAAACATTTAGTAACACATTAGACCGCATAGGATATGCATCTTCGTTCATCGATTTTTGTTTTCCTTACGTATACCCGGTTCATTTCTTATAACATAAACTCGATAAAAATACACTGACCTTTATAAGGCGGTGCATTTGTATCGGTTTTTACTGACCTGAACGACAATGATCACTTCACTCTTTGACACTTCGAATATATGGCCAACATGGATGAAGTTTTACGTCAAATGTTCGTAAGTCTCGTAATTGATTGGCTATAGAAAGTGAGCATTTTAAATATCAACGAATCAAACGTAGGTTAGGAATAGGCCGCTTATGTATGTAACGCTGCAATATGTTTGTGTTTAACCACGGAACTACCCCTTTTTCCGCCAGATCCAACTTAATGCGTCAGAAAGAAATCTAAAACCTGTGACGCATTAAAAGAAGGCTCTGAGAAGAACTTTAGTACTGTATATTTTGTTTATTTGAGTTGAGTACCTACCTTGGAAATGGAGAGGTAACTTGTAGGATGTTTCGATTTACAATCGGCGAAGGCATATGTTGTGCTAAAGTACCTCCTATATGTAATTTGCCAATAATATTTAATCCTGAATACAGACTAACATTACCGCTATGTTCCAAAATGGCTAACATATGTAAATGCTGAAAAAGAAACGAAGTATTTTGATTAAGAAGCTATTCAGATAGGAAATTTAATTCAAATATTCATTAATAAACCAAAAGCCGTGGCTATGTTGGTTTTATGAGTACTACATTAACAATAGTTTATTGACGTTCAAATTAAAACTTCGGAAATCGTTCTCAAAATACAAACATTAACAATGGTTTTACAAAGTTTAAATAAGATATTTTTAGTTACATTTGATTAAGTACTTTATGTTAACACAGAAAGATTTTTCCCATTAACAAATTAATGGCAACTATATTTTATGTAATACGCGAGATACTGCTACAAATTTCGCCACCTACGACTCAGAAAAAAAGTAAACATGAGTTGTTTTCTCAATATAGTATTACAGAGAAGATGTTACAGTGGCTTCCCACGGTCGGCGATTCTACAGATCTTCGCGGACAGTCGATAACCACGGACGGCAACGCACCGCAGACAGAGCTCTTCCCACGGTCCGTGACACTCTGTGTAGGTCCGTGACAGTAGTATTTGATTTAACACAGTGATGCCACTCCTCACGATTTATCGTTAGATCTCACGAATTGAAGACAAATCTCACGATCTCACGATTGACGTCTTATATCTTACGATTTCTAAAATTTTTAGACTGTTACTAAATCTAAAGATAAATAATGGGTACCTAATAAAATTTATACGAGAAAATCAGCATTTTAAAGTGCTCTTAGATTGTCACCTTGAAATATTCATAAATCAACTATATTTTTATACAAAAATGCTTGCACTACTCCAATTAGTATACACAAAATAATATAAACAAAGCTTAAAAGGTTCTTTATTGCTTTGAAAGTGTAAATATCGGTCCATAAACAACTGAAGTTTATGTATATTTTATCAATAAATATCAAGAATAGCCGGAATTTTGTATTAAAGGATCAACAGACCAAAATGATTTAAGTGTGTGTTCGAGATATGAAACAAATCAGCAATTGCATTTAACAATAACTTTATATTCCATCTTCAATAACTTTGAAATCCTACAAGTACCGATAAAATGTTAAATCTTCAGAAAACAAAATGTTTATGTTTACCTAATATATACCTATTATACTTAATATTCTTGGGTAAAATAGGTTTATAATTTTCATTGAAGTTTAAACTATAAAGAATGTTTATAATCATTGCCTAATATTGAATCGATAAATCCATAGCTTGCAGTATATAGATATAGGTAGGTAGGTAATTTCCTGAAATTATATCTGATACTGGTGGTTCCCCTAAAGTAGACCCTTTTCTAGTACACTAATTTTTAAGTATGTACTTATACATTAATTAATATATAACAATACAAAGTATTTAAAATAGTTTTGTATAATTATATATCATTTAAAAACTCCAATTTCTTTCAAAATTCAACTGTAGCGAAATCTCACGATTTCTTAAGATTTATTTACAAATTTAAAAAATCCAAAATAACTTCGTTTGTCCATTCCATTTTTTAGCAAAAAACTGCAAAACAACTTTGACAACACTACAGACAACTACTCGTAAGAGCGAATAAAAAACTTCTGACTTGCATTTGTCGTCTGTTGAAACACAGACGCGCTAGGATCGCGTCGCACGAGCATATACCGCACCTTTGATGTTACCGACTCTAGATGGATAGGACGGACCAGCACAGACGTGCCTGCGCTACCACGGACGAGACCCTTCCCACGGTGCGTGGTGCGTGCTGGTCCGCTTACGTCCGTAATATCGCCGACCGTGGGAAGCCTGTATTATACAGGTTTTACAGCCAGGTAAAGTTTTTGACGCAGATCTTTGGGGTTTGGGGAACAATTTTTGATTTTATACTCATAAGTCATAAAGATATTGCTGTTTATATCAAATTTATTGTTTTGTAAGTTCATTTTTTGACCTATACCTATCTACATGATCAATCAAAAGAGGATTAGTCCTCATAGAGTTTATTCAAAAGAAGTTTGGTCCATACCGGTCGATCAAAACACGTTTAGTCCATTCAATAAACCGATTTTTTTTTATAAAATAGGCACATAACATTTTACTTTTATATTATTTATTTTTAGTGTCTGGCGCGCAACTTCCAAGCAGACTTTAACCAAGTAGGTACACATGATTGACAACCAAGTGTCAACCCGCCTTTAGCACTAATAATGTTATTTTTAATACTTACTGGTATCGGGGCAGCATCTTTCGCACTAATACTCGTTAATATTCCAAATTTCATATCGTTATTCCGAATATCAACTCTAACTATTGATAACTGAGATCTAGACTCTAGAATATAACACAAATATTTTTGGTCCATGATGTCATCCATTAAAAATACCTTAGATGCACCAGCTGCAGTGTTAATATCTCTAAAATAATAAGGGTTTGTAAACATCTTCAGGATTAAACATGAATTTTGAATAATAAAGTTTAACTAACAAAAATATTAATACTTACTGTACTGAATAGGTGTCAGTCCACAAATAATCCAAACAAACAGTGGGATTGGCATGAAGATATGACACATTTTTAGATAAATCGAAGTAAGACTTATCAGATATTGTCGAATTTTTTAAACTCGTATCAAGTTTAGAATTCTGCGCTTGCCATGGACTGTTAGAAGAAACAGCTGGAGATTGACACCGACTGAAAATAGAAATCCCTGTATTAATATTGATATAATTCATAACATTTGTTTGAAAACAAAATTAGTGTTTATGTCCTTGAGTGAATTATTCATCCTTTAATTGTTTGTTTTTCGTTAGGGTACCAAATTTTTTAAAATGCTTTTCAACCTTCTTCTAACATCGAGCTCTACACTTTCAGCATAGTGGTAAGAGGAAAAAATGTTTCTGGAAATTAATAATGGCTAATTTCTTTGTTTTCATCCCTGAAGAAGTGATAATTTATCACAAATACCTTTTGCACTTCAACTGATATACAAGGAGTATTATTTGCTAATATTTAGGATTTTATACTTTAACTTCTTTTCTCTTCTATTACACATATTCTATTTTTTTTTAAGTATTTCTTATTATTTTATTTTTATATTTAATTATTTAATTAACTTGTGTGTCTGTCTATTGGCGATGTCAACGAACTATAGGGGGCGCTTTGACAGATGATCAGCTGATTACGCACGTAGGAAAACAAAACAGAGCTACCATAATCTTTGTAGGTGAATGATTGTTGTGTCTAAAAATTATCCGTATTTATTATCTTCCATTTAGTTTTTTGTTAACGCAATGGCAAATAAAGAAATTGAAGTTAGTCTGCTCCCTATTTTGAAATATATATGAGACACAGAAAGACCTTTAAAAGAAGGCGAGGCCTTGTTAAAGGCTGGCCACGTTGTGTTGTGTGGCAAATATAATAACAAATTAGTCGGTTTGTGTCTGCAAACGACTAATTTAAATTGTGCCCACATGAAATCACTGTGGATGTGTTAAGACGAGTGTGGGTGGTAAAATGCACTTGTAATATGTAAAGCCCGCCAGTGAGGAATGTGCGTGTTTTATTACGCATTAGTCTAGCATTCACCAGTTACTCATTGATTTTTCTTTCGTGTTTTCCTTTAAGAAGGCATTGGGAGGGAACAACACCTTTCAGTAAATACTTATTCCTTCCGATCGATAATTACTGCATTGTGGCGCAGAGCAATACGGTTTACATTTACTTTTTAACATTTTGTTATCTTATTGTGCTTTATTTAATAATATTTAAAATGTTTATAACTATGTTATGTGTGTATAACTAAATACAAAATGTTTTGTTATCCTACGTGCACTAGTTCAAAATTTGACCGCGCCGTGCCGCCTCTTTGGTTTGACATCGCCAATATATACGTAAACTAATACAGCCCTGAATGCACCGTCCCTATGCGACTTAAGGGAAGCGAAGCTACCAGACTACACCTACCTCAGTCCTGTAAAGGTCAGCGCGATAAACACTACAGTTTTTTTGTGTAAACTCAACTACGCAACTTTAAGAAGATTCTGCCTGCCTGAGTTCCCCCAGTGCACTATGGAAGAAGCAAAAGTGTTATTTCAACATCACAGGTACCGTAATTTAATTGTATACACATACAATATTGATATTAATTGATAAATTTTAGTCAGACTGAAAAAATATCCATCAAACGTGGAGTACGGCAGGGTTGTGTTTTGTCACCCACTCTTTTTAATCTGTACTCTGAAAAAATCTTTAGGGAGGCTTTGGATGACAGACAAGAGGGAGTAAGACTAGGTGAAGAAGTAATCAACAATATTAGATACGCTGACGATACAGCCATTCTTGCAGAAAATTTACAAGATCTCCAAACATTACTAAATCTAGTCAGTGAAGCAAGTTATCGGAGATGCCTTAAAATCAACATTTCAAAGACAAAGTGGATGGCAGTTGGAAAGATCAATATAGATCAAGGTCTTATCTCTCTTAATGGAGAGGAGATCGAAAGGGTAATTCATTTCAAATACCTTGGCAGCTGGTTAAATGTAAATTGTGACTCTGATGAAGAGATAATAACCAGGATCGAAATATCACGTAAGGCTTTTATGACCTGTAAACCAGTTTTATACAACAGAAACTTATCGATGAATATTCGTAAGAAGATCCTGAAATGTTATGTGTGGTCCATCCTAATGTATGGTTGTGAGACATGGACATAAAAAACCACAATGCTAAACAAGTTAGAAGCATTCGAATTGTGGTGCTTTAGACGAATCGTAAAGATATCGTGGGTTTCACACACTTCCAATGAAGATGTTCTTCAAATGATCAATGATCAAGTCTGCTCATAAACACCATAAAGAGGAGAAAAACAGAATACTTCGGCCATATAATTAGAGTATCTAAATACCATCTACTTCGCCTTATAATACTAGGAAAAGTGGAAGGAAAGAGATGGATTGGTCAAAAGAAACTTTCATGGCTACGTAATATTAGACAATGGTGTGGTTCCACAGTAGAAGAATTATTTCGCGCAGCAGCCGACAGAGAAAGGTTTCAGGAAATTGTAAACATGATAACGGCCAACGTCTGAATACGGACACGGCACCCAAAGAAGAAGAAGATCAATTTTACATATAACTTATTTTCGTATAAAAATAATACCAGCACCTAAATAAATATTATGAACGAGTGTTTACTCTTACTAGTAATTTACATTTGTACATTGGTATTTCAGATTCCCAATTGAAATTAGTTTAAAGTAATTTATTCGATTAAAAAACGCGATCAAATTATATAAATTTTTAAATATTTGGGCAAATCTTCACAAAGTTCTTTTAAGATCATTCAAAAGGTCCGCAAACGGTATAAACATCTGGCCAGTGTTTGTAGCTATCTACATCTGGCATTCCAGCCCTTTTTATTTTGAGTACCTGACCTGTTTTGAAGTACAAGCAGTTGCAATTTCTAAATTCGCATAAAATTTCTGTGAATACTAGCATTCTTTAAATATAGGGTGGTTTATACATTTATATATTTTGTTTTAAATAACATAGGATATTTTAAAAACACAATAGTATCATTATTGCTTACCTCATCATTGCCATTGAACTTTGAGACCTGGATGTGGGTAAATGACCCATGTTTGATATATTAGTATTCACAGGTGTGGATGAACTTTTTCTTGGGCTCACTAAATTTTCCCATGCAGAGAGTACCTTTTTTAGCTAAAAAAAAAAATATTGCATGTTTATAATATAGAAATCCATAAACTAATTTTCCAAACCAAATTCAGATTTTTGCTTTAATATGTGCCTTCTAATAATTGCAAGGCAAAACAGACGTTGATAAAGATGTTATTAGAGACATGGGGAATCTAAAATTTGCATTCCACGACATATCTCCTCAACTAAGCAAAAATCCTTAGAGAATTGGTTTCTTGTACTCGTACAGAGTATATCGAAATCAAAAGAAAAAACAGTCAAGATTTAATTTCACGTGTAGTACGTCCGTGTATCTGTTTATACGTATTTCGCCCTAATAGGGCTCATCAGAACAGCTATTCACGGTCGTTCTGAACGTGAAAACAAATCTCTTCTGTCTTAGGAAGCAACTCTAACATGGCTTCATATGTGATCTGCTGGATAAAAATTAGGTATACCTACAGTAATGAATGATAGAAGCTGAAAAGTTCCATATTTCAGACAAAAAAGAAAATTTATGGAATTAAAAACTTCAATGTCATTTAATAAGTCATTGATTGTATCAGCACTCAAAGTTTTTATTACATTTACATTACATTTAAACATAAAATATTAGATGCTTTAATTTACTCCCAAATGAGTTTACTGAGTGTCAGATGAGCACTCAGACTGATCAGGTTTATGGCTCAATATAACATGTCATTGTGGACTTTAATACAGAATGTGAAGAGGGGGCTAACGAGGGGAAATATCATTCTTATATTTATCTATTAAGTGGAAACATAGTGTTATTATCTCTATTAGTATCTCTAGTTAATTTTGTAATACTAACTACAGAAGACTCACTCTATAACGAGAACTGAAGTGGCAGACTAATTACCTTGTTATATCAGACAACAATAATACTGTGCATACATATGAATATGTAGTTTTCTAAAACATTAACTTCCTATAGTGAAGCCATTTGGAGCAATATACGATGCTAAATATTGTTTGAATGACGTTTTTGAAAAAAAGTTGTTTACTTTTATCGTGAATGAAATAAAGTAAAACAAAAAAGAGTTGTTTACTTTTATTGTCAATGATATACATTAAAACAAAAAATCGGTACTTAATTTGTTTCCAACTACATAATGTATAAAGCATATTTTCAAGGATATTATAAACAAGTGCTTCTGCAATTTAAAGAAGTCTGTCATTTTTGACTGCTTTAAATTGTCCAGTATCATTATATCTATCATGTTTTCTAAAGATGTGAAACAGTTGTATTTATTGTAAAGAAGTTTATTGAGGGCGGCAGTTAAAAAGGATATTTATTTATAGCACGGCCGGGCCAAAAACGTAAACAAACACGTTTTTCGATCTTGTTTTCTCTCGTTATAACCAAATTTGCCTCGCTATAGCGGGTTATAGTTCAATAGAAAGTTCATGGAACATCTAATTTACGTCCTTATACGCAAAACCTCATAATAACCATGTTCGTTATAGAGGTAGTATACTGTATAATTTTTTCTGCATCTGTCTACAAAAAAAAATAGCAGAATCATGGAAGTCAGAGTGCAAATTTCAATTAAGCCCTCAGATATCTTTAGTAGTGCTAGATGAAAAACAGCAGATCCATGAAAATCATTTCAATAAAAGAAAAGAAGCTGTAATTAAGTGTTACACACTTATCATACAATAAAAGTAATTTTATTTGCGGTAATCTATCGATTGTATATCACTGATAAATATGTCACTTGAATAATTACAATACAGACTTACCTTTTTAGATTGAGTAGCAGAAATATTTTCGATTCTATCTCCAAACTCTATATCATCAAGTCTAACTTTTCTTATCCTATATATACTGTGTTGTTTGGAATTAGAATCATATATCATGCAAATACTGGGGCTGTCACTTGTAAATACCACTTCCATAAGAGGATTGTTTAGAATACTTGAAGCTCCAGATTTGTTCACAATTACTGGACAAATGTCATCTAATGGATAAGCTAAAGAATATACTGTTGCTCTAGTTTCATAAATATGATCTTTAGGAAAGCCTAAAAATGAAAGTTGTGTATTTAAACTTGAACTTATATTTTATATTGTTATTAAAAGTTCTACTGTGTGAAATTATATCTACTACTACTAAAGCATGGTTCGGGACCTCAAATAAACACTATTCAGATAATCAAAGTTCTACTGATGAATAGAAAAAATTAAATATTGTTAAGTGACATCAAAAATATTTAAGCCCATACTTATTATCAAAAAAAAAATAGGTTGATGAATTCTAATATGAAATAGTAAAATAACCAAAGCACATAAAGTGAACTGAGCTGAGGTACTCTCTTAAATTGAATAAATTTAAACTAACTTTTATTTTCCTTTGTTATAAATATTCCATATTTAGTACTCCACAATTTATCTATAATAAATGGCACAGACACTGAATAATATTCTCCTTTGGGAGTGTAAACGTTAATATTATGAGAATCTGTGATACAAACTGCTTCAATTGGACTCCCAGAAGGCTCATCAGACACCATATCCAATGGATTTCGAAAAAGTGGACAAACACAGTGAAAGGTGCACCAGAGTGCCTGTTGTACTGGAGACTCAGATGTGTAACAACATACAGTCTTCCTGCCATTGTCTAAATCGTCATAATTGTTTACTAAACCTCTGGACCTAAAAATATATTATATAATAATAGTCAAAAAGGAGATTATGGGATTAATATTAATATGACTTACAGCAGAAACATATTAAGAAATATATTTAGGAAAAACAATGCAATGTAGGGATACAGGTAAAGATGATACAGTTAATACAATACTATCATCAGTATAAATGACAAAGTTTTAAGAAGAAGGTGGTTTGCACCCTTTTTTGCCAATATAATACCATGTAAAGACAAAAAGTTTTTGATGAGGATTCCTATTACTGTCCTAGTCATAGATGATATTCACTTAGTCAGTAATATCTTACAAAATATATGAACATGAGTAACAAGTTTGTATAATTAGAAAAACTATACATGAGATGTGAAGAAAGACAAGAAAGGCATTTTTTTATTGGGAATTATATTTATGTCTAAAACAGTCATTTGAAATCTGTTTGTGTGAAACACAAACACTACACATTTAACTTACCAAACAACTACATGTCCATTAACATATAGTTCATCTTCCATATATGTAGAATCAAATTTTGTGGAGAAATTTGAAACATTTGGGCTAATTTTATTATATTTGACCTTACTGAATTCAAATTGATTTGGTTTTACCTCAGAATATTTTGGTGAGGTATTTGTTCCTCTCCTAGATTTACTAAAACTTCCATCACTATTGGATTTAAAACTACTACCCTCATCCCAACTGTCAGTCAGCCTCCTTTTATAACTAACTGGATAGTGACTCCCATCATTTTTATTATCTTCACCTGATTCTTTCTTTAAAGTACTTTGCAAAGGAGCCTTTCTCAATATCCACCATTCTGTTCCCTTTGTATCTGCTAATGAGACTTTTTCGAATTTATTTAATATTAATTCATCAAAATGTTCTTGACTATACTTTACAGAAGATTCTAATGGGCCGGGGTGACGAAATGCTTGCTGCCGGCCACTTGGAACATATTCCTGGAAATAATTGTATTAAAAACTACTAATTTAAAATAATTTGGTACTAAAATATGAATACAACCTGTGGATTTGAGGCAGCAATCATTGTTTCTTCTTTTTCATCCAGATTTGCTACAATTGTATTTAATTTTTTAACAAATACACCTGTTCAAAATTTGTTGTATTTCTGATCGACTTTTTTTTTAAACAAATCAAACTGTCACTTATTTTGACTGTCATATTTGTCAGAATTGACAGATTCAATTTAAACCAATAGGAGTTGAAAGTTTATTTCATTTTTATACAGAGTGGACATACTTAAATCTAAGCGCGCTAAATTTTAATTATGTTTATATTTTTTATACATTAAGAATTTGGTAAGTATGAATTTATTATACGTAATTGGAATTACCTATGGATTCTTTAATTTACGGTAATTGAGAGGATACATAATACCCAAATTTCAATTAACAATTATGTATAATCTTATTTATTATATAAAGGGAATTTACCACAATTTCGAAATTTCGCGGGGATATTTGTATTTTCAAGTGAAATAATTGTTATTAATTCCCATTAAAGAGAAAAGGTTACATATCATTTGCATAAGATAACTATAATATTTTGTGTTATCCGAAGTTATTAGAAGCACCAAAACTTTCATCATCATCATTGGTTCTACAACCATCAGTAGGTCTTGGCCTGTTATAGGATCAGCTTCCATTCCTTCCTATCATTCGTCTTGGTTTTCTAATTTCGTACTCGTAACTGGGTCTGCCTCTTTTGCTCACTTCATTCGGTCTTTGGTTATAAATGTGTTTCTATGGCTCCATCTCGTTCATTCTCTCTAAGTGGCCTAGCCCACAAATCCTAGCCACCGCAGTCTGTTTATTTTGATGGACCTACTAACAACTACTAATACTAAGATAGGTTCACTATAAAGGCTCAAAATTATAGCGCCTACGCCATAATACGTTTCCTGTATGCCTTTATAAATATTTATGACGATTTTTTGTTGTTGTTGTTGTTTGTTGGTGTTTAAATGACTGCGGACACTAAATCCATTCACCAATCTTACAATTTGTACTTATTTTTTCATTAGTCAATCTTATGCTAAATTCCTACTAATACTAATCCTACTGTTACTAGTGTTGATCTCTAATATATAGTTTTTTTATTAATTGTTTTTTAGTTATTTATATAGAAAATAAGTAATGAGGTCCTCAGAGTTCCACAGTAAACTCTTCTGCAGCAAAATTTTTTGCTCAAAACATCCTAAAAGTTCTTGCACCAACATATCTTAAGCTTAAGACGTGCCTTAGGTAGGCCTCAGCTCAGACTGATCGACCGACCACGACCAAACTGTCCGACGGCGATCAATCAAATTTTGTATTTTAATTTTTAAGAATAAAAAGAATATTTTAGAATCGAAAATTATAGTGCAACGTAAGTGAGAGTTAAGGCAGCCCTAGCTATAAGCAGAGCTTGGCTAAGCTGGAGCTTAAGTTCTATTGGTGCAACCAGGCACGTTTGGTAATTGCTTTTTGTCGTCGTCCACGTTTCTGACGTGAGTGAGGACTTGCTTGATGAGTTTTGTGTATTTATCAATATTTTCATTTATTTTTTGTAACTAGGTTTTATTTTATATTTGTTTTTGACCAAATCGTTTTGGAAATTTTTACAAAATTCAAAATGTCATTATGTTAAGCTGACGAAAAGCAAATTCGACGCCTATGAGATTTCGGTTAATATTAACAGCCATCTAGCGGAAACCGGGCAGTTCCAATTTTTTTACCTTTATTCATAGTCACTTTTTGTTATTTATATGGCATTGTTTTTTGCGAATGAGTCACTCTTGGCCTTGCTGTCATTGCTGAATTTACTGGTTTTGAATGATATTTCGTTTAGGAGTAGTAAAATAAAAGAATTGTTTTTGTGAACATTTTTTCTAAGGGAAATATTAGGTGTGTAATGGCCGATCCACGCATTCGTACCATTAAGATTAAAACTGGAGTTGTGAGAAGGTTAGCAAAAGAAAAAACTGTTTATGAACGTGAGGTAGAGGCACAAAAAGTTCGTATCGAGAAATATAAAGCTGAGGGTAAGAATTTTTGAAATTAGATTTGAATATCAAAAGTATTGTAAACATAACCTATTGGTAATACATTTAAGGAATTAACAATTACCATATAATCGCCTTTTTGTGTTTTGTTAATCCAACTCGAAGTATTTACATTTTAAATATGACTAGTTATGTTTAAATACGGTTGAATATTAACATTAGTAATCCCTTTGGTTTTAGGAAAAGATGAATATGACCTCAGAAAGCAAGAGGAAGTTTTAAATGAAAGTTTGATGATGGTTCCTGATTGTCAAAGAAGACTAGCTGTAGCTTTTGAGGATTTAAAGAACATTTTGGAAACAGAAAAAGACTTACAAGAATCTGAAGATTACTTAGCTGCACAAAAAGTTTTGGATGAGGCGAAAGCGCAATTGCCCAAATCAGCTGAAGTGCATATGTGTTAAAAGTTACAAATATCTATTTTTTATGTAGTTCTAGTTATTAAAGACTTAATTTTCATAATGAATTTTTTAAAATATCAGAACATTTCTAACCGTATTGTTAATATTGAAGTGCCTGTTGCTACAGATCCAAGGACTAATATTTTACAGAGTCTCTATAGTCAGTCTAATGATGAGTTATGGATTGAATCGTGGTTGCAGCAAAATAACGTATATCATCCTATTCCAAAAATTAAAATTAATAAAGGTAAGTGATAAGGTTTTGGCAGGTTATATATAATAACTAATGTACTAATTAATGTTGCTCTAAATTGTCAAGCAATTTAAATGTCAACTAGTGATAGATAAGAGTTAATGCTGGATTTCAAACAAGGCTTTATTTACTAAGCAACTACCTTAAAGATTGGGTGGAGTATAGCAGAATAATTTGATTTTATAGTAGGTTTGTTTAACTTTAGTGAGAATTGCTACAAATAATAAGTAAGTGGGGGATTATAATATAAAAACATAGTTTCATTTCCATAACAATGGGCTACATAATTGATAATATGGAAATTCTACTCAGTATCACATTGAAGAGCTGAAAGATAATAAATTAAATAAATTATCTGTATTGCATTATCATATTTATAAGTAAATAAGCAAGAGCAATAATTGGTGAATGGTGTTTTAGAAATGTTACTGCTATGTTATCTCTCAAACTGTAATCTGCTAATATTTCAGTAATGACACTTCAGATAAATGATAAATTTAAAATTATATATTTTGAAAATAATTAAGATTATCTAGAATATGTATTGAGCTATAGGGTTATTGAGAAAGAAAATATTTTCTTGTGCTAAAAGGGTATAAACAACTAAAAAATAATTTTAATGAGATCTAAATTTTTCGGAGTTTTTTATCATTATGGATATCACTTGAACCTTAGAACTTTTGAATAATCAACAGAGATGTGCAAAAATTGTAACAATTGATAACATATTGGGATTTACTTGCATATTTCGAATTCTGTGATAGGTTGTTGAAATACTGTAGAATAATTGAAGGGCTTAGGTGCTGAAGGGGTCCAAGTGCAATTTTTTTAATATCGAGTTAAATACATATTTAAATACCTAAAGTATAGTTTTATTAATTTTAAAATGAATCTAAGTGATTTCATACATAGACTACAATCTACCGCGATTTGAAAAATGTTTTATAAATAAAGGTATAGAAACCTTTAGTTTAAAATGGATCCAAGTGCAGTTGGTTCCCTTATATTTCAACTTCCAACTGAAATTCAGTCAGTATTCTTCGACTTATATGAAGTAATGTATATTATTACCTTCGATATTTATGACTTAAATTGTGTATAAAACGATAGAAATAGTTAAAAAAATTAATATAAAATGCATTATAGCAGTAACACTGAAGGTAAGTAGGATAACGATAGATTCTGAATACCGATAGATTACAAAGCATCTGTAGATATAAACGTAATTTGTTTTAATCTTCAGCAAACCCTTCCCACTCCCTTAATAACAACTTCCAACGAAAGCGTTTTATTTGCGACAGCTTTGGACATATAATTTTTGTGTTCACAATGTAACCACAGGAAATCAGAAATGTACATCTGGGATAAATCCATTTCAAGCAGGGGATCTCAAGAACTTGGTTCGTGCCTCATTCATTTTGTAAAAAACTTACTCTTTAAAAGTGTTACCAAGATCATTGCATATAATGATTGCTGCGGTGAGAAGAACAAAAATAAAAACATTGTAAAGCTGTTTATGTTCTTGGATAAATCTACTTATATTCAAGAGATTCACCATAGGTTTTTGGAACCAGGCTATACATTTATGGAGTGCGATAGAGATTTTAGTATAATTGCAAAAGTGAAGCGTAAGAATCCACAGGTATTTATTCCAGAGCACTAGGCCCAACAAATTCGATCAGTTTGCAAAAAGTTTAATGTACACCAACTGAATCAAGAAAACTTTTACAGTTTTGAAACAATAAACAAAGTTATAAGTGATCCCAAAAAAGACAGTACTTAAAGGTATTCTTTACTGTTCTTTTTAAATGGAGATCAGTGCGGTACATTTTGTATGAAAAATCTTCCGAAACATTTTTGTTTTCTTTTAATGATATTTTATTAAATATTTTAATAAAATGAAGAGTATGTGTACAAAAAGAGTGTTCTACTATAAGCATAGAGAACAAATCTTGACGCTTAGCCGAGAAAAATCAATAAATTTATTTATTTTACGCACAACAGGCTGTTAAGGCCTAGGGCAGTTTTTGTAAACATAATCCTAATATTAACTAATTGCAATTATTTTAAACAAAACTTTAACTTAAATATGTATATACAATATTCTTAACTACTCTGAAGGACCTGGTGGACAATTCTCCATTCACTTCTATTTTGTGCTTTTCTTTTCCAGTCCCTCACCTTCACATGTTTAAGGTCTTCCTCCACTTTATTAATCCACCTCGTTCTGGGTCTACCTCTTCTTTTGGGGCCGATTAGTTTTCTGGTTATTACTAGTTTGGGCATTATGTTTACTTCCATTCTTTCCACATGTCCCAACCATCTCATTCTTTGTGACTTCACGAACTTGGTAATGGTAGGTTCTTTATATAAAGCCATTAATTCATTGTTGGTTCTTCCCTCCCAACCATCTTCTGTCTTCCGTCCTCTGAATATGCGTCCCAGTATTTTCCTTTCCCATCTTTCCATAGTATCCTCTTCCTTCTTATTGAATATCCATGTCTCACCGGCATATGTTACTGTGGTTCGAATTACTGTTTTATATATTCTGAGTTTACCTTGTCTAGAAACGTATTTTGAGTTCAGTAGGGCTCTTAAACTATCTAATTGTTTATTCCCTTTTGCTATTCTGGCTTCCAGCTCCCATTTCTCTTTTCCATTTTCATCGAAAAATCAATAAATTGAAATGGGACAATATTCAAAAACTTTATTTTATTCCACCGGTCTACAACAACCTTCCCAATGAATACAAGAATAAAATTAAAAACTAATACCGTCAAGTATCTGAAGAAGGATTTCAAGAAAAAACTAAAATGATGGTGAAAAAATTCACTTTCTTTCCTGCAAAGATCCTACGAATACATTTTAGTCCAGATAATAATTGGTTGACCGTTCAGAATAAGAAGGGTCTAAGTGTTTTTTTATTTTAAAATAAAGCTGAATTGGTTATTTTTTTGAAAACTAGTATAGGTATAATAATTTTCTGATTCTTTAGTAATATAATAATACTATGTAATACCGTAGCTAATGTATAAGGAATTTTAATTATTCAAAAACTTTAACCTTAAATATCTCAAATCTAGTAAAATTGCACTTGGATCCCTTTCATTCTAAGCCCCTCAATTACAAAAAAATCACTGCAACTCAAATACCACCCATCCCTTTAGTAACTCTTTATCCTCTTTCAATAAATTCTTGTGTAGTCATATCTAATTTTGGGTATGTAGGTTATTCCTTTGTATATATCTGTTGTGTGTATCATTAAGTCTACACAGATATAGGAGATGTACAGTTTATGTTACTAATAAACTGAAAATATTACAAAATTAGAGTGGAAAATCAGGAAAATAGAGCAGGTTCTGGATTACTGTGACCTGTTTTTTGACCTTGACAGGATACAAGTTGTGTAGGTACCATCACATTATATTGATGGAGGATCTAGGAGTTCTCTTTCCATATTTCTTGCCCTTGTGAATTTGTTCTTGGAGTCTTCATAAAATCTTCAAATAGGAATATTGAAGTCTCACCTTTATAATACAGGGGATAGAAAAGAAGTTCAAAAAATCTGAGGAAACACATAATCTTGAAGACCACTAGAATCAAATCAAAACCATCATACAAGAATCAACCAAAAAGTATAAAAAATTGATAAATGCAAACAACAATGAATGACTGATGATATGTTAAAACTAACGGAAACAGATAAAAACACTGAAGAATACAGAAAAATCAATAAAGAAACCAGAAGGATGCAAAAGAAAAATGACACAACAGCATAATAGAAGAACTGCAGAAAAAGGATGATATATTTAATATTTACAAAAAGATGCAAGTAGTCTACTTGACAAACCAGGAAATATATGTCAATGAACAAGACAATCTGGAGAACTGGGGGAATATACACTCCGCATCATAGAAAACGGGCCACCCCAAATATTTAAAATATTTTCGAAATTATTATTTATTGCTACAAAATTAAGCATTTATTTTTTCGTATATTGAATCAATAACTTGTTTAGCATAAAATTTGATCATTATCGTAAAACATCAATCGAAAATAAAAAATTTAAGAAAAATAGGAAATTTATTGAAAAAATCAACTTACAGTTTTTAAAACAACACTGAACTGTATATTAAAAATAAAGCTGGTATCCATTTTCAGTAATGGGTATTGCCACCTCGATTCTAGATGACACTCCTCATTCGATTTGGCATGGTATTTATAACGCTTTGGATATCTCTTTGGGAAAAAGTGGCCCATTCCTCAATGAGTGCCATCTGGAGCTCTCCAGGTGTTGTTGGAACAGGTATGCAACGCCTAACCCGACTTTTTAGCAGGCTCCATATATGCTCAACAGGATTTAAATCGGGGCTTTGAGCAGGCCGGTCTATTTTTTAAATACCAACCTCGTCAAGGTACTCCATTACTATCCTTGCCGTGTGTGGTCTCGCATTATCCTGCATTAGCAGGAATTCGTTGCCAATAAATCCAGCATAAGGCATCACGTGATGTTGTAAGATTTCCGTTATGTACCTTACTGCTGTTAACGCACCTGTGTCGATCACGACGATATCCGTATGCGCATCAAAAGAAATCCCTGCCCAAAACATTACTGAACCACCACCAAAAGAAACCCGTGGTGCCCAAGTGCAACCAGCGAAACGTTCTCCAACTCGTCTGTACACCTTACTACGTCCGTCTTTACCATAAATAGACATTCTTTACTCATCTGTAAACAATACTTTTTTCCAATCGTCTGCTGTCCAATTGATGTGCTCACGAGCAAAATCTAGTCTTCGACTTTTGTGAGCTGGGGAAAGTAAGGGTCCCGTTGCTGCACTGCAAGCTGTCAAACCTTGCTCTTTTAATCTTCGCCGAATAGTAGAAAGGCTGATTGCTGGTCCTTGAGCTTGCTGTAAATAGCCTTGAAGCATTCTAGCGGTTTGGGTCCGATTCCGTAATTCAGCAAGAAGGAAGACGCGATCATCCCTAGCAGTTGTTTTTTTTTTGGACCCGTACCAGGTCCCGTACCAATGAAAAAAAGTTGCAATATGGGTTAAAAATTCTAAGATGAAACTTGAGGTTGTCAGTAAACTGAGTTACAAACAATGAACATCAAAGCATATGGAATAAAGTTAAAAAGAGTCAACAATATCACCTATTTGGGTGCCGCAATTACTGTGATATAGACAAAGAAATAACAATATGCATTGAAAAAGTCACAGCTGCCTTCTATAAACTAAAGAAAATTCTTATTAATACAGATAATACATCAAACCTTAAAATCAGATTTATATGATGCTACATATTCTCCACATTGCTAAATGGCATGGAGAGCTGGACCCTTACAGAGACACTAATTAAAAAATTGGAGGCCATTGAGCTTTGGATCTTCCTATGAATATTATGGATAAGTTGAGTTGACCAAATAAGAAATGAAATAGTTTTACACTGAATAAAAAAAGCACAGAAATAACGAAAATAATAAAAATTAGAAAATTACAATATTTCAGTCATGTAGTGGGACATCCAGAGGGGTATAAACTTCTACACCTCATAATACAGGGCAAGATTGCCAGAAGAAGAGGCCCAGATTGAAGGAAAACATCCTGGCTCTGAAATCTCTGAGAGTGGTATCAAGAGACATCTGTTTCGAGCTGATATAAACAATATGATTGCCAACATTTGATAATCAAATAGGCTGCTGAAAGAAGAAGGAGAGTCAAATCTTGTGGTACCCATTCCTCGTGAACTACTTGTCAGATAGAACAAATTCAGTATCTAATAATATATGGTATAGTGTGCATATAATAATATTTTTTATTTTCTCATTAAAAAATATATCAATCCTTCATGCAGAACAATGTCTACAAAAGAGGTTCACATTTTTATTTATATAAATGATTCATAATGTTATTATATCATAATGATGAATTATCTTTATACATTGTAAGTGCATAATGCCATTTAAATTTTGTTTGATGTTGAATCATGTATTATTATAATCAATCAAGATTTATATGATTAGGAAAATAATTTTTTGTTTTTCTGTCCCGGGTCAGGATTCGAAGCAACTTCTGCAAAGCATTTCAGCAGTGAACAGTGAAGTGAATGCAAATCGATAGCCTGTCATTGTTGTCTATGTGACTGACTGAAAAATTAAATATAGCCTGCCCATGAAAACGCATCATAAAAAAAATTATTTTATGTTATAAATTTTATGCAAGTTTCCGATTTCACGAATTTGAGAATCATAATTTGCTTTTAGTTAGCTCATATGCTGAGTTTTTGCTTCTATATAAAGACAGTTTGAGGGGACCCGGCAGTGCTTAGTACCTTTACACTTACATTGTACAATACTTCTACACATTTGACTACTTTTTATAGTTGTTTGAAAGCGTTCGTGCATATTGTTCAGAGGTTATTTTTTTGTGACATTTTAGTGCAATTTACTATTTTTGTTAAAAATAAACTTAAAAAAAATAAAATTGTGGCAACGAAATATTCCCAACAAAAATAGTAAATTGTTCCTGCATGTTAGTCATGGGGAATACAGATATTTTTGAAAATTTGTATCAACAGGTCAAGATCACATGCCATAAGAGACCTGGGTCAGTAATATTTGAGAATATTTGTCAGAAAAAATAATATCTTGTGCTTTGTCTTTAAAAAATGCAAAGTGAAAATCGAAATGTAATTACATTAATTACGTAACACATTAAAAACAGTATTCCATATAACTGTTTACCTAAAAACAGTTCAGATTTATTAATATAAATGATTCATAACCACTTAAGAATATGAAATTAATTTGAGGAATTATTTTTATTTATTAGTGAATAATTCAATTTAAATTCTGTTTATTATTCAATCATTTTATATTTGATAATAAAATATTGTGATAGTACAATCAAGATTGATATGATTAGAAAAATAACTGTGACACATAAAATAGTTTGCATTAAAATTTTTTCATCACATTTAAAATTAAATACACTGCCAAGAATAAAATTAGAGTCCCCTTATAATTTGACATTTTTGTAGAAATTATTATTCTTTTTTAACTATTTTCGGTTGTAACATAGTTTACTAATGGATTGCTTACACGAAGACGACGAAAACAATGTTTTTATCCTTCAAACTTTGTTGAAAGTAATGAAAATGAACAGTTTTTTTTCCTTTGATATACTATATATTGAAAAGGGACAATTTGAATTTGATTTGCTTTTTGTTGAAACAAAAGAAATTTTTAAGAACTGAAAAGTAAATTCAGATATACTAATCTTTCTTATATATCTTTAACCTTTAAGCATATTGATGAATTAATAATATTCTGTTCATTCACAATATTCAAAAATTTGGACAAAAAAGAATATGTTTCAATACTTCCGAACATACTGAATCTTGTTGAACATGCCAAAAATTCTAAACATTGTTGAATTTTAAGCTTGTCCAAAATAATTCAATTCTAAACGGCTCAATAACAATGTTAATTTTCGTACACAACGTCGAAATATTCAAAACATTGAACGCGTTTCAAAAACATTCGATATTCGAATGCAAAACATTCAAAACTTCAGTTGGCATTGGCTATAAACACTTATAATCGTTGCTCCTCACTGACTGCCCCGAGATGCAAGTGAATTTATGGGGACCGAAACATCGTAAACGCCTCTTCATCTCATCCCCTATGTGATATCTGGACTGTTAGCAGGCCAAACAAATAGTGTGATTTGAACCTCATCTTCTTGAACCTGTGTTGGGTACCTTTGCGCAGTCAATGTCCCATTCTCGATAAAGACTAACTCCGTGCGAGCGTCAAATAATATGCCTCCCCATGCCATAACTGACCCTCCACCAAGTTGCTTGAGCATATCTTTCGCCTGGACGTAGAAAATTTTATCAAATCAATGCGAAAACCAGCCTTATGAATGTGTGTATATGTTAAATACTGTGTATCTAATTGTGTATAAACTGAATATAAATATAAAATATTTTTTGAAATATGTATGGGTATTTATTTTATGTTACTTTTAGCGTCAAATGTAATAGGTATCCACGAAGCCCAAAACTCACTGAAAGAATGCTTAAAATTACTCGAAAAACTTAACAAAACACACCAAGATCTAGAAAGCCAAGCAGATAGAATGCCTTCTACCGAATGGAAGCAGAAAACCGTTGAAATCGGTAGTATAAAGGATCAGTTTACAAAAATAATTTCTAAATTTGAGTCCGGAGACGCCATATTCCGTTTGAAGAAAAGCATCGATAAAAGAAAGAAAAAGAGAGTGAACCAAAAGAAGAAGAAAGAATTTAGAAGACAGCAGATGAAAGAAAAGTTTGAAGCTAGAGAGAAACTTCATAAAAGTATTGACCAGTGGTTAGCTAATAAGAAAGAAGATGAGGAAAAACTCAAAATGGTAATTAAATATTTTTTATGTTCTTAGTTACGAAATCTCGAACTTTTCTTAAGTTACAAGAGATTTCGAATTCGTGTAGATTTTATTTTTATTTATATAAACACTGTTAATTGTTTATTAGGTTTTAACTTTTTTGTGTTTTTTTTAGGCAGAAGATATGCAAAAGGACGCTGATTGTGTATTGTCGGAAGTAACAAAGAAAAAATCTGATGCTAGAAAACAAATGGCTCTTATTGGCTCCCTAGCAAAATTGAGGTTTATTAGACATCATATGGCCGTCCAAAGAGGCGAGAAACCTTCTTTAGAAGATCAGAACGCATTTAACATAACTGTCTGTAAGTAAACTTATAATAAAATACTTATCCTGTAGCAAAATTTACTTTATAATTGATCTATTTTCAGTAAAGTTAAAGAATATGTGGGAGTCATCTCTTCAAACATATGCCAAGGAAGAGCAAGGTTTAAAACTGATGTTGGAAAAGAATGCTACTGAAGATACAAAAACGGCAAAGTTATCTAAAGAACGAAGACTGTTGGATGAATGGCATACAGTGTTTTTTGGTCCTAAACAGTTGATACCTCAAAATAATGCTACTTACTGGGCTTTGACTGCTGCTGAAAGGGACATGGAAACGTTTATTGCTATAAGGTATGTTGTTCTGAAGCTATTTTCTTGTGGCATTGTAAATTAATTACTATTTATAACTGGGAATAAGCCACAATTAAAGATAAAAATACGTTTATTGACGTTTCAATTTCCAATTCGGAAATCGTTCTCAAAATACAAACAGTAAATTGTTTATATTTATATAAATACGAATTGGAAATTGAAACGTCAATAAACGTATTTTTATCTTTAATTGTGGCTTATTCCCAGTTATAAATAGTAATTAATATAAGGTATGTGTTAAGTAACTAAATTTTAATATTGGTTAAATGCACTCTCGAGACACGAAGAAAAATCTCAAGTGAAATATTGTTATCAAAGAACTCTCTAAGATATATGAAGTATTTCTTTGATGGTTTGCACCATGTCTAAAATACCCATTTTAAGCTCGAAAAAAAAACGTATTTTAAGTATCTGTCATTGTAGTTAACCATAATTCAGGTTGTTGAAGATTACCAGCCGCTACTTTCTTTCACGCTTGTGTGGAAGTATCATTTGATATGTTATATTTCTGTTCTCTGCCAAATAGAATTTGTTAAAATATATCTATAGTAAAATTAAAGTTCTCGTCATTTAAATTCAAGATATGTAGCAAATGAAAACCACCAATTATAGAATCAATTTAAGTGTATCTTTCAATTTCGTTAGTGATCAGCCCCCGGGATAATCTGAAAAATACTACTCGAAAGTTACTAACATAAAAATTAACCTCCTCCCCCCTCGATTTGTTAAACTTTCACACTGAGATTTATTATCTATTTTATTCTTCTTCTTGGAGTGCCGTCTTCCTATTGAGGTAATCACAGTGGCTATTTTTAAGTCTTTTTTATTTAATGGCTATTTCATTCCAGTCACACTATCTTTTCCCCTCTAACTTATTTCTTCCACTTTTACACTGTCTCCCTCACATTCATTCTCTCGCAGATATATCTAGAACAGTGATAAAAACTGCGTTAGTTAATTCGTAAGAGTACAACAATGAGAACAATAATCTAATTGTGAATTTATAATCTTTGTTATTTTAGGAAAAGTTGGGATACATTCCTAGTATCTCCCACCAATGAGATGGGCTCCAAAATTCCAGTTGGTTGGGTTTTACCAGAACCAAATGAAGGTTGGGCGAAATATTTAGCAAATAATTGATCTGCGTTTAGAATTAACCCATATTAGATGTGCTTGTTTGCCTTTTTATAATTTAGTAAAATAAATATGAGTCTCATTTTATTTGAAGATGTTTTCATTTTTTCCTTATTTTCCTAATTTAGTTCCCTTATTTAATTTCATTAATATTTAATTGTCAAGAGAATACATCCTGCTAACTACAGAGGCTGTTTGGCCTACAAAGAGCTCCAAAATAAACAATTTCCAAAGTTGAGGGAGAAAATACAATCTTAGTACCCAACCTCGTCAAGTTTCTCAAATACTCCTCGCCCATCTGTTACATATGCAAACGGTGTTGAGGGACAAAATCGTACCACCGCATCTGTCTCAAATACTACACAAGGAAAACTGAATACAACAGAAACAAGTAACAGTTTAGAATTAATGGTCCAAAAACTTATGGAGAGAATGGATAAAATGTTTGACCTTCTCATAATGAAGCTATCAAAATTTAATGTTTAAGCCTAAAATTGGATGTTGGATCACAAACAGCCTCACAAATCATAGTGAGGAAATTAAGGCATTTATAAAATTAAATAATCTTAAATCATATTTTAGTATGCCAGATTTCTGCACATATGCTTATGTTTTGTTGTTTTCTGTTTGTTGCACATATGTTTTCTAATAATTAAAAGCGTTAATCATTAGAAGTAACATAAAGCATCACGAAATAAATAAAGTATGCGAAATCAACATTCAGGCAACCTCGATATCTGTAGACCTCGGCAACGATGTCAGTTGCGTGTTATCCCCTTGGTATAATAATTAAAGAGGAACATTTCTCTAGTAGTTATTTCAATGGGCTTTGTCATCACTTCATTGCAGCAGGTGACTTTAATGCAAAACATACAAGATGGGGTTCAAGATTGATAACAACACGCGGAAGAGAAATTATTAAAAGTTTTATTATATTAGTAACAACTTTTTAAATAATGAACCTTTCTTCGGGCCATTCTCCCATATTTATTGATGTACATAATACGATGGAACATGTATATAATATAAATACACCACATTTTCAAACCATATAACAAACTGGAGTTAATGCTCAAAATGCAAATAATTTAAATATTCATTAAAATAAATGAAAATATTAAGGAAGCAGTCCATTACCTTAGATCAATCATTCAATGGGCAGCTTGGAGACCAACCTCAGATCTAAATCGGAGTAATCACTGCACCATATCCACATCATACAAAAAATCTTAATCAACGAAAAGAGAAACATAAGAAAACAGTGGTAAACTTCCAGATCTAAGCACAAAACGCTTGCTTAAAATATAACTACATAAATACAAAGATCAAGGCATAAATAAATATCTTGAAAGTCTCACTGCGACGGATAACATAAATTACTCTATTTGTAAACTTTCTAAGAAACTTGAACATAAGATTAAGCATGATGGTCCCATTAGAAAGATAGATGTCACCTCCTATAGAAGTTATCAAACTGAATGAAATTAAAGATTTAGATAAAAATCTCAATATTAAAAAAGCTCCAGGGTATGATTTAATATAGGAAAAATCTGCAAAAATTTACCTGAAGACGGATTTCAGCTGATTATGTACATATTTAACGCTATACTACAATTAGGCTATTTTGCGTTTCAATGGAAAATTGTACAAATAATTCTAATACTGAAACCAAATAAAGATCCACACGAACTATCATCCTATAGTCCAATCAGTTGGCTTCCCATTATCTCTAAGATAATGGTAAGTTTGGACTGTTATCAGTTTGGGTTCAGGCAGAAACATGGAACAATTGAGTGGGTACATAGGGTGGGTAAGTAGCAAGAGATGCAATTAAAAAGAAAGAATACTACATTGCAGCCTTTTTGGATGTCTCACAAACATTTGATCAAGTATGGCATGAAGCGTTGCTATCAAAAATATAAACTTATTTTTCTCATTCTCTGTGTACACTTATAAGATCCTATCTCACTAATCGATACTTCCAGGTCAGTTACAATGAAGCAGTGTCAAACATATCTCCAATTCTATCAGGAGTACCTCAGGGTAGTATATTGGGACCAACTTTATACTTACTTTATACGGAAAGATATTCCCACAAGAGTAAATAGCACAATTGCTACCAATGCAGACGATACTGTGATAATAACTTCTAGCACGGTTCCTGTTACACAATGTGCCAAAATTTATAAATTCATTTAAATGATCTAGAGAAATGGTTAAAACTGTGGCAAGTTAAAGTAAATAGCAGTAAATCAGCACATACACCATTTACTTTACGCAGGGAGGATGTACCATCTGTATGTACAAACAATACCATAATATCAAAAAACAGTGATGTTAAATACTTGGGAGTACATTTTGACAGCTGACTAAATTGGGGAAAGCACATCTGGACAAAGCGACTACAACTAGGATTAATATAGGTACAGGAAAATGTTTTGGTTCATGAACCAAAAATCCAAATTAAGTTTACATATTAAATTATTACTGTATAAATGTATTCTAAAGCCTGTTTGGATGTACGGTATACAGATATAGGATACAGCATCTATATATATATATATATATATATATATATATATATATATATATATATATATATATATATATATAGGTATATATACATACATATCTATGTATTATAGTTATCATTTGCTGAAACTTCGGCGTTTCTAGTTTAAAGTTTCCGATGCATCGTGGTATGTGCCCAATTATGTTATACATCGAGAACTTCAGATCCAAAACGTTAAAAACACACCGTTGTCGCATTGAGTGGCATTTACAAAAGTAGACTACTGAATCATCCAAATACGCTTGCCCAAGACCTACATCATTTTATATAAAACTGTGTGTGTGTGTGTATTTTAACTATGCTATTTTTTAAATATGTTAATGTAATATGTCTTTCTAAAGTGTTATTTATATGTCAGATATTTATATTATTAGAAATTTATCTCAAAGAATTTTTGTCACTGCTCATCACTGATATACCCAAGATTCTCAGGAAACCAAGTTTGATACTCATAATATACCCAAGGTCGCGAAAAGGTAAAAGCCTTCCATTAACCAGAATCTTATAATTGTTAGCTTTTTGTTGCCGAGAAAATTCTGTATAACATTTTTATCAGAAAGCCACACAGACTTTTCAATTTTGATTGCAAAATCTTTCTCAAGTATAAGGACTCATATTTGTGACCCGTTGAACACACATGTTTTGATCTTCTCGTGTTACAAATCTGGAAAAGTGGAAAGTATGCAGAATGAGTTTTAAGTGTGGAACGAGTCAATTATCCCGGAAACGGCTTCCACGATTTTTATAGGTTTTGGTGTAACGGTCTTGTAATGTGGCCAATATTATGGTGGTATTTACATTGTTGTCAGATCTTCCGTTTTTTTTTTGGAAATCTAATGAAGTGTCTTATTTCACATAGATCACCCTCTGTTAATGTTTTGTTTTTTAAATGCCTTAAGAAATTTAAATGTCAAAGAATTAACCAGTCAGAGATGTTGCAAAATGTATTGCAAAGTTTTAAAAATCGTATGGCTTGTTGTATTAAAGTAAACGGACAAATTTTGAGAATCTGCTGTAATTAAGTCTGGTTTTCTACAATTCCTAATTTTTCTACTACTGAAATATTGACATACCACTAAGATGAATTCGTTTGCAGCTGCTGTAGGTTTTCTGCACTATGATTGGGATAAATATTTTACTGCACCAGTTTAGTTTAACTCTTTACTAATTTATCGGAAAATCTGACAATAATGGTACAAGTCATTTTAAAGATAATTGAAGCATTCCATACATAAAACTCACTCTATATATTGAAAATATTCGCTATTTTTGTTCAGTACCCAGCGAACTGCTTTATATACAACCAAGTTCCAGGTAAAGTATAGATAAAAAAATCTGTCTCAAATGCAGAGATCACATGTAAACTTTTTAAACCCTCTCTGCTGGCTTATAAAGAGGTTAACCAGTGTCAAATCAAGACAAATGATCCAATTGTGCTCGTAACATTGTAACAATTTAATTACTGTTTTATATAATTATACTCCTTTTGCATATGTACTGAATGACCAAATGATGTGGTCAAATCAACCACAAGATCATTAAATACAGCTTGATTGAACTTCTGCAGAGCTGACGACGATACACCACGTGATGAGGAATCAGTCATCACTTGTTAAAATCTTGAAATAGGCTGTAAATGGGATTTGTTCTGAATGAGGAATTGGTCGAACAATAGAATGAATATTCGACTAATATACTCTACATTTTAGCCTATACCCTTTATGTTAACTATGAAAAAAAAGCAGTTACTGATATGATAGTTGATATAAAAGATAAGTAAAATGGCCCACCCTTTCGTATGTAGATTCTCTCGCTTCGTTAAATGTCTGTTCAATCACAAATTAATCCCTTAATTTGTAATCTCGCATTATTCTTAACTTCTTAACCTTTTATAGTTCACCGTGTATAATTGAAACATTGTGAAAACATATCGTATAATACTTTAATAATTAGTCCATTTACCTGCAACTTAATAAATTGCCGAATAATATATTTTCCAATTGAACTTCCTAAGTGTTGCAATTTCGGCCTAGATTAAATTGTATTGTAAGTTTATAGTTGAAAGTTTGTTAGTATGGTAGAAGCATTAACCTTTGTGCTGAGGTATACAGTATTTGTGAAATTATAAATTGGGAATTTGAGCTTAATTGAGCGCTGTCTATTATAGAAAGATATCTAACCAACATCTATAGTGTAATTATTAGTAGTTGTCAATAAAACCATAATTTTTACTCCACCACTTCATTATTTTATTATATTATCATCGTCGATCGAGAAGAAGCGGACAAAAGGGCGTTAAAAAACGATTCGACCCTTATAACTACACTCGAATTTGTCCATGTGAAAGTGAATTGACCATCTTTTTGTTCTGTATTTTGCTCTGTATAGTTTCACTTAACCTGCTATATTTCTAGGTTAAAATATTTTACCTGATTCTCTATTGTTTTTATAACATCTTCTAATTTTTTTCCAGAGAAGAAGTATATAATAATAAAGCAATCAAAATAAAAACTAA